CATCAGCCATTGAGGTGTTCCTTTTAATAAACTTTAAAGTATGACAAATATTTTAGCTTAAATTAAAAAATGCTTTTTTTTTTTTGTTACCAGAGAGAAATTAAATAAAAAAATGCTGGAATAAGGGCTGATGGTACAAAGGGATGTGTATTTTTCTAAAAGCTGCCAAATAACTTGGATAAGAAAAAAAAAATAGATAAAAAGAGAAATATAATATTTCTTCATGTTACTGGGAACAACTTCTTCTGTAAAAATTTTGGAGACTTGCTCAAAGCATACTATCAAAAATCATATAATTACACATCTGTATATATAAATAACACATTTTTATTTAACTGGTGTCCTGAAGAGACCTATTTTTATTGTATTGATATTTTTAAGACATATAAACACAATTTTTGTGGCGCTACAACAATTGCGCTAGTTAGAGTGGCTGCAAATTGGATTCGGTCTGCTAGCTTCTTTCCTAACTTTAGCTACTCTGTAAGAAGAAGAAAAAAAAACAACCTTTCCATAAGATACTGCAACATTTAACTTTAGATTAATAAAGTATTATTAAATGAATTGTGCTGATTGCTGTGGAATACATTCATAGCTATACAGTGACCTAAGAATGACTTCAAAGTGTTTTTATCATCAATCTTATCATTATCAGGCATTATAGTACCACAAAATAGCATAAGATTTTAAGGCCAAATCTTTCAGCCCTAATAAAGACATGTGGTCAAAGATAACTTTATTAAGCAGTGTTAAAGAAATGCAGCTGAATATAAATACATGGAAAATGGGTACAAATCATCCTTAAACTTTAAATGTAAGCACTATTGAATGTTGGTCTAATACAGAAAGTTTGTAGTAATTGGGGGAAAATTCAAAGAGTATGAATACTTTTGCTATATATGATACTGATATTTGGCAATAAATCATGCTGATAAACAGAAGAGAAGCAAGTTAAATCTGAAACCAGTACCATCCTAACAATACTCAAGAACATCAACATAGTTGCAATGCAAAAATGCTTCCCATAAAATATCAATGTCATATTTTTCAAAGGGCATCAGTGTGCTCAGTATGTTCAAAAACACGTATCTATGTATACACATTTTTTCAAACTTAAAAACAAACTGGAAGATTTGGTATTTTATTTACGAAGCTTACAAGTCTGGAAAAACACTAGTGAGCCCAATGAGCCACAGGAGGTACCGCTTTGGAAAATACACAACAAATAAGCGTAGAAGCTGATAACAGTCAGTGCTTTAAGCTGCTGTTCTGTCAGTCTTTATAGCAGTTTCTCTCAGAATTACAGTGATGATTACACCAAGCACATGTAGCAGGGATATGCAGAGAAACAGTTTATGTTATTGATAGCCAGAGAGCTTCATCCATCACACTAAAACCATTGATTTCTGTTTCAGTCTGCTCCACTCGGCCACTGACTATCCTAAAGTGGCATTGGCAGCATATTTCCTCTGCCTCAAAGTCCCCAAAATGGACACAAATAAATAAACAACTGTGGCACCCCTACAAGACTTAAAGCAAAGCCTGAAATCCCTATTGGTTATCATTTCTTTTCTTGGTAAAACTCATTAAAAAGCAAGACCTATAAAAGCAGCAGGGGAGATGACAGTCTTGCATTCTCAGTTGTTTTAGAGGCTTCTGAGCGCAATAAGCGTCGGAAAATTGGGGGCCGTTAAAGCGATTCCTTTTTTTTTTTCTTTTTTTTTTTATTAGTTTCTGTCGCTGCCAAAGTGTTGCTTTTCAACAATGCCAGTAACAAGCATGAATCCCAAGGAGGGCGAAGATAACAGAAGCCTTTTTTGCTGCATTTTCTGAGGGCAGCTCTGTAGGGAAGGCATTTACACCTGCTTGCCTCATCTTTCAAAATACACTAGGCCCCCAAAGTGTGCTTTACTTATAAATATCCACATCTTGTGGCAAAGATGGAACCACAGAAAGGAAAGAAATAGCTAACAAGTCATGTTTGTGAGTGTGTGTGTCATTTTTTATTCACCAAATGACCAATATCTCACACAAATAGGGTTGGTTTTAACAAATGACTTGAAGTTAAATCGGCACAAGAGATTTATGATGCATCTTTATGATGAAGCTCCAAAATCTCAAGGGTAAGACCTAACCAGCTAAACCTCCCAACAAAACTTAACCTTCACCAGATTCAATTTTTCAAGTTCGAGTGCGAGTTCAAGGAAGGCTCTGCATAAATAGTTCTTATCACTACCCAGGAGATTTGTAGACGAAATTACCCCATAAATGCATCGCATTTGACTGTTCAGCATGAATCATGAAACGCACAAGAGAGAAAACAAATGAACTACTCTCTCATTTTAGGTAAATCCATCCTAGCAGGTTTTCAGAGCAGCGCCATCAACATCAAAGCCCCTCTCGCTGACTTTCAACTCCACACCTCCACTGAAGGGGTGATGGGGGGTGTGGGTGGGTGTTCAAACATTAAACAGCATTTTTCATTCATGAGAAAATCATGTTCTGTTTCAACAATAGAGGGAAAAGAGCTGATTCAGTCGAGTCGCTGCAGGGGTAATTGATAGGGATCTAGAGGAGGTAAGTCCCGGGGGAAATGCTGGATCATGAATTCCTACCATGCCAGGGGGAACATGGACGATATATTGAATCCTTTTTTTTTTGTCCCACAAACCTCAGTGGGCAAGAAAGTTAATTTCTGGCACCATGTAATCTGTAAAGCATCAACTACCTGTGAGTAATTAAAGATTTTGAAAAGCTGAATTAAATTTTAAAAGCCACATTCATGCCTTATTCCAGCCAAAATGGCTGAAATTCAACACCACTCAAACAGAACCTGTCTGACAACATGAAGCATGGTAAACATGTCAAAAAGAAAAACATCATGCCCCAATCTAAATTAATTTGAGAACAGAGGAGAATATACATATTTTCTCAAAAAGGCATTAAATCCATATAAAATGGGAAATCCGCAATCGTAAATGAAAACGGCTTAGTTGAACTCTGTTCGTGTGTATTGTATACACCACTGAACTATAGCATTGTGTTGCACTGACCCAAGCTCATTGTAGTGTTTAACTAATGGAGCACTACCTTGAATGTCCTGGAGTCAAAGCTAATATTTGGCTGCACAACCAATAGACTGATGATATCCAGCATACAACTTTGGATAGAGCAGGAAGCAAGTAATCAATGTAGATGCACCATCTCTGCCGCTTCCTGTGTAACACCACAGGGTTCAACAGCTACACAAGGCATTTAGACTACAGTAAACCACAGAGAGCAAGGGCCAAACAATATAAATGGTTTAAATAATATAGTAAATGTATTAAACAATATTTAGTATGCTAACAACAATATAGTAAACAATAAACTTTAAATGTAGCATTTTTAGCAGTTTCACTTTGCATATCATTGAGCGGGCCCGCTAGAATTTAAACGAATTCTTTGAGTACAATGCATTCACGCTCAGCCAGAGAGATGGTGGTTTTTCTCTCCTCAGACAGCAATTCGGTCCAGGTGTGTAGATCTGTGTGTCTGTCAACAGTGAGGTAGGATGCAGGAGTTCATCACATAACTAGAGGGTCGCTGGTTCAAACCCCAGCTCTGCTGTCCTCAGTTGAGTTTTTTTTTTTTTTTTTTCTGTTGCAAAAAGATTCACTCCCATTGCCCATTACTGATAGTGGTCAGAGGGCATCATCTATCTGCTCATCCATCCATCCATCCATCCATCCATCCATCCATCCATCCATCCCTCCGCCCACTTACCCATCCATCCACCCAATCAACCAAACATCCATCAATCCGCTCACCACCCATCCATCCATCCACACAACTGTCCATTCAAACATCCATCCATTCACCCACCCATCCATCAATCCATCCACCCAAACATCCATCCATCCATCCACACACCCACCCACCCGTCCCTCCTTCCGTTCGTCCGTCCGTCCGTCCGTCCGTCCGTCCGTCCATCCATCCATCCATCCATATCTTTTTGTGTGTTTATGCAGCATGTGAGGAGTGTCAAACGTATGACTGGCCTTTCCACTTCATTAAACTTTGCAACAACTGTTCTTTCCAAGCCATATCCTCTTTCCATCTGTATAACTTTGGAAAATCACCTTGCGGCAGCCCAGAGAAAATTGCTGTTCATCTCACAGTACAAAGAGTCTAATTTTTGGACCTTGAGGCTGTGAAAGCAAGGAACTGCTGGCAGGCTGAATAGTGTCCAAACAAAAGCTGGGTATGAGGAAAAAAAACGTGCAGGGTTCTGCGGAGTTATGTCCACACATGCTGATAGAGCACAGATTTGACTCTTCTGTGCTTGACAGGGCTGACTCCCTCCCGTACCCCCACTGCTGCTAGAATTAGAGGGGTGTACATACTGTCAAAGCAGTGGAAAACAATCAAATTGTCATGGGGGGATATATCAAGTGCTCTCAAACACCATCTTCCACTAGAAAAAACGGCAAGAAAATCCCAGCACTGCAACTGTTACCCATAAGCAAGTTAGATTCCTCATTGTGTATCTGAGAAACAAACTAGCTGCGACAAGTAAACTCCCAGAGCTTCCTTCAAAGCCTCACATCCACCCTGATAGAAGATTGGCCTACTGGGCTGGAAAAGGCGAGAAGCAAATCAAGCATAGCTGCCACATGTAAAAGTTCAAGTTTGTGCTCAAAACAAAAGAAAAACACAGATCTGTAACAGCTCAATGGACACAAAGATTGAATGCAACGTGAAGTTCACTGACTATTTATGCTTTCTTTAAAGGAAACGCACACTAAATGTGATGTGTGACATTAAAAAAAGAGTTTGAACTCAAAGCATGCAGATTTTAGAAATAAATGCTTTGATTTAGGATAATTAGTATGTCGGAGGGAAAAGAAAAAAAAAAACAACGTACCCTAATACCTTAGCAACAATCACCTTAGAGGCCACATGAAGCATGTGTGAGAAGATTAATTAAGGGTGCAGTGGAGAGAGATGACACCTCTTACCTTTAGTGTGTGAAGAGAAGTAGAGGGAGAGCTGAGCAAATAGGTCAGGGTTTTCAAACTTCTCTTCTTTGACTTTGATCCAGAAGCAATTCTCTGCCATTTCCTGGGGCACTATCTGCAATGACACGAGGATTCCATTATCGCCACAATCAGAAACCGTCATTCCATCAAGCCGCCACTCAAACTTCTTCCAGCTGGAAGATAGTGTTTGTGAGTCTTTTCCTGTGTGTGGAGACATGCGTGACCTTGGGTGGGATTTTGAGCAACTGAGTTGCTAACGGGACAGATAAAAAAATAAATACAATGAGGAAAGCTAGAGAAGAGTAAAATGGGAGGTTTGATATTGTCATTTTTGACTAGTGAGGATAATGATGGTCATTCAGCAGTGTCGTGTTAAGAAGATGCATAAAGACTTCTTTTTCTCACTTTTCCATTAGAGACTTCGACGAGAGGAACACTGAGACAGTAGCAGACCACTGTCTCGGTCACACTACATCGCAATAGACACCTGATCGATATGAAACACATCGGATAAAGTTTTCAATAATTCCACTGAACTCTGATTCAGATCCCCCATGGTGTTCTGGGGGATTTAGTCTCTGAACCTCTCCGAGTCAAACTAAGCAATGTTGCTATCGGGGTTGCCTTTTTGTTTGAAACAACTTCAGCATTTATGTCATTTTTACCCTAGTTGACATTACACCTCTAAGCTAAAGTGTGCATCGCAGCAGCAGATTGCTGCACGCTTAATTTTCTCCTGTGTGTGTAAAAACAATGGTGTCATTTCAAACTGTCACCAGGAAGTGCAAAAGTCTGTAACAACTCTTGACCTTTTTAATTTTTTCCTCCAAATAATAATGTTGAGCACATAATTAGGGAGAGTGATAAATACCTCCAAAATATTACTACCTACTAATATATACCTCCACTGCTTTACATTTTGTTTAGAGTCCTGAAGTGTCTCTACTGTGGCTTTTTATTGTGGGCCACGCTGGAAAACTGCATTTATTGCAATGCCATCATCCTCAAACTAGAGTAATCATGTAAAGAAAAAGATGTAAAAACAGCATTTTCGCAATGCAGACAGTTACAGCTAGTACTAGACAATCATCAAGGCCACATAGTAATGGTGATAAATGTGAACACGTTGGAGAGTCGCTAGCTGGGTTAATGGAGGTTTATAAAACTTCCTATACAGGCTTGTTTTCACTGAAGCAGAGATAATAAAGGGAGTCTGTATTTCTGTTTTCTCCATTTCAATTCATTCGGCTACTGTGTGCTATGAGGGAGCAATGATCAAAGGAACCAAATCAACTTCCATTCTTAGTCTATGCCGGCTTGACCTTGCAGGGTTATGAAGTGGGGCAGGTGCCCATGTCCAATGGTCACAAGCAGACAGGTGGTGTGCACCCTGAACAAAACAGATGCTGTCAACTAAAAAAAACTAATGTTCAGTGGGAGAAAGCCTGGGTACCCAGGGAGAACCCACTCATTAAAAAGAAGCACTGGAGAACCTGTGAACTCCATGCATTTAAAGCTAGATACATCCTAACCACTGCCACACTGCACAGCTAAAACTTGATGAGACTAAAATAAAAATCTAACAACAGCAATTTACACCTAAAGTAGCTGACTTATCTTAGCCAACCTCCAACGACTTATTAATAACACTTTAAAGTGACAAATAGTGGAATGCTGAAAATCTTCATTAAAGGCTTTCTGTATGTCAGATGGGACTTCTCTCTGGAGTTTGTACTTTCCCCACATGACTGGGACTTATCTTTGGGCACACCCACTGTCCGAACAGGGTGCATGTTAGGTTAATTGGTAAGTCTATCTAAACTGACTCAAGGAGTCAATGTGTGCGTGTGTGTGTGGGAGAGAGTTTGGCTCTTTTTCTCAGTAGTCTCCCAGCTGGCTCTTTGATAGACTTGCAACCTGTCCAGGGTGTGCTCCGCCTCTCACCAGATGATACCAGGAAAGGCTCCAATCCCCTGTGGCCCTGAAGGGGATGAAGTGGGTGTGGAAAGTAAATGAATATTATTGCTGCAACTGCTGCTGCAACTGCTGCTGCTGCTACCACCACAGTCACTTTTATTCCTGCTACTGCTACCAACAATAACAACAATAACTGACTCTACTTCAACAGAAATGAAAACTATTTGACCTTAACTTGTAAAATAACAAAGAAAAGTGGTCAACTCAAAAAGTTCTGATTATGTGGGAACATGGGACTGTTAAACCTGATACCAGATTTAAATATTAGGTTGATCATAGTGACTTTGGTCGACGTTGTCTGAAGTCATATTTCCTCGTAAGGGGTGTGCAGAAAAACAAAAGAAAATCCTCTAACTATAAAACATAAATAAATCTAACCAACCTTTAAATATTTTTCAAATAGATCATTAGATCTATAAACCACCTTTCCAACACAAAAAGAGCTCTCTAGAACAGGCAGCATCTCTCTTTATAGAGGAAAACATGGTGGTTTTATGTTGTTATGCATATATGAATCATATCCTTCTAAAAGTCTTATACATTACAGAAGAAAAAAGCTGTAATGGTTTAGGCTCTTCAAATTAGGATTTTAGGATTCAGTTGAATTATATTTTTGTTTTTCTATTAACTAATACAGAAGTGCAGCTAAAAATTGAAAAATGTATTTAGTAAATGTTCTTAATTTTATTTCCTTTCCAATAGAAAATGTGTGTGTTGGTCTATTGCAGAATCACACTAAGCACTAAAGTTTAAAATGTGATTCTATGAAGACATTGCATGAGGATTTATGTGAGCACTACCGTATTAAAATACCCAACTCCAAATATATCTTTAATCCGGATAATTAAAAGGCAATTTAAAAACACACATCCCAGTTTTTTTTTTCCACCTTTAATATTTGACACAGCTCTTTTTCAGTTTTATAATTTTGTTAATATTTTGTTGTTAAATTCTTGGTCCATTAAGTGGCTTTGGGATTTTCCTGCAGAGCCTGAGCAGAATTAAGACAAGCTCTGTGTGTTTAAAGCAAGGCATTTATTACAACTTGAGCTAATGAGCCACTGTCGAGCTTAGAGCTTATCTTGTGGCGCTTTCTGCAGCAGTGGTTATTTTCTTCATCCCAGAGCATTTATGTATCCTCTGTAAAGTAATTTTCATATGCTCATAAATATTTGTAATCAAGATTTCAAACTTATGCCTAAATCTAATATTATAAATAGTAACAGGTTAACGTTATTTAGCTGAAATGGGAGCATAGCATTACTTAATTTTGTTTAGTTGTCTACTTAATCTTAATTTTCGGTGAGAATTAATAATACACCAAAAAGAACGAATGCAGCAAATAACTCTTTGAAAGCGATTAGCAATTAATAGCTGACATTTTCATGTGTAAGCCTGTGTTAGACTTGTCCCCTGTGTATGTGTTAGAGCACTGCTTTAAGCTAATAAAACACAGCTAGTACAACTACTGTAGATGGAAGTACAGTGAATGACTGTACAAAGAAGCATAAACATTTAGAGTACTGTTTGAAAAACAATATAAACGCATAAATAAATTCAGTGTACATTTATAACATGAAAAAAATGTATCCTGTCATACGAAAGTGGGGATGTGAAACATAGAAAAAAGATTTGAGGACTATTAACATAGAAAAAATTCCAAAAATCATTTCCTCCAGTACCTGTTATTCTCTCATGCATTACTTGCCTATGAATATATAAATTACATTTTCTACATATCATAAATGAACTCAGGCCTACTGCAGAACAATCAGTGCCCCATCATTTTACAGCATGAAGCTAAATGTATTCACTTACAAGAGCCAATAGGGAATAATATGTACTTTCAATATGTAAGGTATTTTTGGTATTGCTTCATTTATTTGTTTTCTATAGGTTTTTGAACTCCCAATTGTGCGTCTTCCAATAGGTTATTGTCAGGGTTCCGTGTTCTGCTTATTCTCTTCCACAGGTGGTTTTTGTCGACAAGTGGGCGTGGCCCCGCTCCTGTGGCTCGATGAGGCTGCTCTGTTGAGCTTAAGAGGAGTGTTCAGTCAGCTAAAGAACGCCAGAGTGTTAAACTGTTGTGGTCCATCTAGGCCTCTGTCCTGTCGACAGATCTCTGAAAACTGACGTCTTGGATTCCTGATTCTAACCAGTCTTCTGTCTCCCTCAGTTTGTTGAGCTCTGGATCGCTCATCCGCCTGTCTCCGTGCTCTGAGGACTGGTCTCTGAATCCCTGCAGCTCCAATTACCCTCGAGCCCTTTTGAAGCTACCAAGCCAGATAAGAGACCCCTTTCCTGGATTCACATTGGTTCCTTCAGCTGCTCCTCAAACTTGCCTCCGCTGCGGTGCGGCTTGGGCCCGTGCCTAAGTTCCACCTGTCACTCAGCCCCCTCTTCCCACCGGGAAGCTGTGAGTTACAGAACCCTTTCCTCCACTCACCCTCCCCAGATAGGTTATCCGTACCGGTAAGGTGGTATGGCGGTAAGCAGAGCAACAACAGTGCAGGTTCCTTTACCTTTTTCTAGTCTCAATCAGTTTCTTCTTTCCTCCCGCAGAACCCCGAACACTGATGTTCCAAACCGTGTTTATTTGCGTCTAGTCTAATAAACATCTTAAACTGCTCCTTGTTTTCCCGTCTGTGTCTGCATGTGGGCTGGATATCCGAAAACCATGACAATTAGCAACTATCACCCCTCTCGCTCTGTCAGTCTGCCTGCTTAACTGATATGTTTTTTTTTTGTTTTTTTTATGTAACTGCTGTAAGTTCTCAAAACATGGATTGTAAATGCATCGAGAAACAAAACATTAACACAAGTATGTAGATGTGAAAGGGATGAGTAGGCCTACCTGCAGGGCTTCTTTGAAGAGGCGGATGAACTGTTTTCACAGACAGCTGCAGATGCTGGCTAGCAATGTTTGCCAAACGTTAAATTAACTATTTTCTTAATCACCTCTTCTCTTCCTTTAAAATCTCCATTGCCCCCACAATCGGAAAAACCCTGATATTCAGCAATCAGAGTTATGATTCCTTTATTATCCTTCCCTCTATCAGCTCATTCCGTATTTCTTTAGGATAAAGGTTTGGTGACTTAGATTACGAATATATGTTGATTTTTAGTGTGCTCAACCATTTTACAATAACATATTATGGAAGTAACCCAAAATTATCTTTTTTTTTATGGAGTATGTGCATGAGGCTAAACATTTATGGCACAGAAAAACACAGTGGAACTTTAAAAAAATTTCTGCCGTTTTTTCCCCTTCTCTTTATACAACTGCATAGTAGTCAGGTCTGGCACTTGCGTGCTTCCATCTGCTCCGTATAGAGAAGACAGATGACTCATGTTCCACTTCACTGACATGAGAGAAGCAGATTGTTTTTCTTCAGGTGGTTATGAATTTCATTTGCATCATCAAACTGAATCCCTGCAGAGGCCATGTTAATCCTCAGCCACTTTAACCTGTTTATGTACACTTGTGCAGGCCGTGGTCATTTGTACCTTAGTACAAGTTCACAAATTATAGCCAAAACCACATTAACCCTTAAAATGAGTGATGATGCTGATGACACAGGATCAAGGTGCGAACAAATCCAGCTCCCCCTGGGGATAGGTAATAATACATTGGAGTGTTACGTTCTCCATTTTGTAATACAGGGAATGGATGAGCTAATGCACTGCTGTAGGAGCACCAAACTAAAACAGTTAGGAAACAAGTAGGAACATGAAAGATTTTAATTGGATTACCACTGATGTAAATGTACCTCCTATTATGTCATTTATCACCTTGTTCCTTTCAATTTCATTTCTTTAACCAAAAATTGGCCAACTTTTTCCTGTACTGCTTTGGTGGAATTGATTTCATTAAAATACATTAGTGAAAGGAAATGAGAGCATCAGTTCTGGGGGAATGCGTACGAGTCAACCTAAAGGCCAAAGATATGCGAATCATCAAAGGATCCACCTTTGGTTTGATCACTGCTCTTCAAACTGTGAACAACTCAGTTATGAATTTTTCAAGTTAGCCGACTGCAGTCTGTGTCCATTAGTATGAAGACATTCTCAAAGTAATTATACATCTGCTGGCTTAAACCAATCTTTTATTTCACCAGACTTGCCGGACGGACAGACAGACGGACAGATATACCCCTTTTCCACTGGCTGAAAAACAAGTTTAAACCAGTGAATAATCTGTTTTAGTAGCAGTGGGAACAGCTTACTAATGCATGTATACCTATGTCAAACGACTCGGCAAGGAGCCCGCATTAAAATCGCCTTGGCCGTGATCGGCATGCAATGGAATAAACAGAGTTGACCTACTAAATTACGTGACACTATTGAACACAACGTACGGACATCAACACACCGCGGCAGCCATGTCTGATCTAAAAAGCCGAGCAACTCTGTTTACATTCGTTAAACATGGTGCAGAGCTGGTAAGAGGGATTTGGAAAGATAAACAACGCAAAACAATTAAGCACACTTACTACGTCTTGGTTTCCTTACATGTTGCTCTACATTGTTTACTTTAGTGATTTACGTCACACTGGTGATAGCATCAACACTAACACAGCATGATATGGTCACCAGAGACACAGACGCGAGGGGACAGAGGCCATGCAGCCTGCCAGCAGGGGGTCAGACCCAGTTTTGGATGGATGGATGGATGGATGGATGGATGGAAGGAAGGAAGGAAGGAAGGAAGGAAGGAAGGAAGGAAGGAAGGAAGGAAGGAAGGAAGGAAGGAAGGAAGGAAGGAAGGAAGGAAGGAAGGAAGGAAGGAAGGAAGGAAGGAAGGAAGGAAGGAAGGAAGGAAGGAAGGAAGGAAGGAAGGAAGGAAGGTCAGGTTAGGTTTAGGTTTGTGTATTGTAAAGGAAATGAACGTGTGTGCACGTACTGACTTGATATGGTATCATACTTTTTTGTCTCTTAAAACAGGGCAGGCTTTATGGCAGTGCCTTGAAATATTTGGATCTTGTTAAAGTTCTGGTACATTCACCACCTAACCATAATATGGGTTAGATTAGCTTGGTAAAAATCAGGAGTTATGGGAATCAGCTCATCACTCCTAGACCACTAAAACCGCAAATTTGTCCCAGCCAATGAATGCACCTTACCTACAACGATTTTGTTGCTCAATAAAGTCTCAAGATTTTAGACCTTGATAATTTTCTGAATACATCTGCATAAGCAACACAGGTGTATTCATAAATGTGACATGACAAATAGAGAAAAGAAGACCTTAATCCACTAAAACCATTTGTCTGCAGCCTGAGACTAAAGCCTGAATCACAAGGGCAAATAAGCAGTGTGAAGAACCATTAAATCAACATTAAAATTTGTGGAGATAATAGACCAAACATCAACGGTAAAATATAAACCAGGTGGAAGAAAATGCTTCATTGAAATTGTTTTTTTTTAAATGTGATGGAACATTACACAACACAGTCTTCCTTCAAATATGCTAAGATGGTGCAAATCCAATGACATCTGAGCAGTGAAAATTGTTTACTCTCCAATCCTTTGAAATAGATGTTATAGGTGGAAGAGTGTGGCATGTGGTAGTACGGCTGTTTGAATAGATTAAGGGTGCTTTTAGATAAATCTCCTTCTGGTTTGAACTTAGCATTATAGCATGAAGGCATAAAAGATCGAAAACCTACTGAAAAAGGTGCAAAATTACAGTTTGTGCAGACGGAAAAAACTCCACTGCTATAAACATGTTCATAGGAGCCTTAAACCAGACAAACAGAGAGTGAAAACAAGTCTGAATAACTACCTTTGACCAGTTGACCCTCTTCATCACAGTTTCAGGCTTGTATGTCTTCTTTGGCTCCAGTCCATAAGGCAGCTTGACAACTGGAGGTGCAGGAGGACCACCAAAGGGAGGCGGAGGAGGTGGAGGCCCACAACCAGGTGGGGGTGGAGGTGGCGGGGGTCCTGCTCCTGGGGGAGGAGGAGGGGGTGGTGGAATGGCGGCGTGGCCAGGGAGAGGAGGGGGAGGAGGACAGCCACCGGGTGGGGGAGGAGGAGGTGGGGGAGGTGGGGGTGCTGCACCTCCTGGTAGTGGTGGAGGAGGTGGTGCTGCAGGTGCAGCTGGGCCTGCAGCAATCTGCAAAAAACAAAATGGAAAAAAGTCTGTATGCAACTACATGCTAAACAATTATCATTCCCCGATTTCACCCTGAATCTGATCACAATCCTTCTGGAAAATAAAAAATAATAAAAATGTGTTTCTTTTCTAGTGTTGCACCAATGCACCGCTTTGGTGAAGCACTAACTGGATGCTTCTACATTACCAATGAAACACGTTCCATCATTCACTCTTTGGTATGGAACAATTTAGTCCTCTGTCAAAAAATGGTGTTTTAAACATTTCTGGAAAGGAAAAAATATGTAGAATGTCTGTAAAATATGGCAGTGAATAATATAAAAAAAAAAAAAAAAAAGGAAATTTCCAACTTTCATTTTCTAGCAGCACAGAGAGCCATCATTATGTTCCAGTAGAGGGATAAAGGTGGCAGTTTTTTTTAGATCATTTGAGCTTTCAAAGGATAATAAATTGTAATACTTTAGGGCTTAAACTTTCTATCTTAAGTTATCTATAATTGGAGAAGGTAAAAATTGGGATAAAGCAGTCATAAGTTAAGCATTTGCAGTCTTCTGAATTTCTTACAGATATTGGAATTTGAAAATATGTACTGCAGATCATGCACATATGCTGATAAGCGTTGATACATTTTCAGATATTGTGTCTATAGACTGTATGTTTAGTGTGTTTAAAGATCAAATTACCAAAAATCGAACTGAATATCTGATTCAACTGTGCATCAAAAATGTTATTCCCCAACAGAATTTAAAATAAATCAATCCAATAAATTATGTAATATTCTTCCTACTGCTGGCGTATGTTCACCAGTTTATCTTATAGTTCAGCTTTCAGTTACTTTCATGTAAAACATTGCTTTTTAGCACAAAGAAGGAACTATTTGGACTAAGTGGGTCCTTTTAATTTCGTTAATCCTCTTGGGTATTCTTTAAACATCGAGCAAAAGTTTGAATAAAATAAAATAAATAAAATGACTTTAATTTACAAATGTTACTTTCTTATCAGGAGCTCATTATGAGTGCTTATAATTTGGGAGCTAATAAAGAGTCAACAGGGACGTAATTATAACCTGGGGTATGTCAGAACTATTAAACATTTGAAATAAGCAGGAAGGCGGTGAAAGTCCACTTCAAGGCCAAAAGAATGAGAATTTTTACGGGAATAAAATGTATGATAATTCCACAATTACAGCCACTGTTGCTTCAGTTAGGCTTAGATTAGATGTCTCCTCTAACAGAGAAGCACTTCCAATTCTCATTTCCAAAAGCAATTCCACCACTATGTACATTTCCAGCAGTCACTTGATTGTGTGCGTGAAAATGTAATTGGTTTCATATTTAAAGACGTTACATGGCGTTTCATTACATAATGGCATTGACTGATTTCTTATTAGGGGCAGAAATTAAAAAAGGCGTTCTTCAAGGAGCTCCTCGCTCAGATTGCTCAGAGCCCTTTGCCTAAAATAAGAAGAAAAAAACCCACTCAGTGATTACACGTCTGTCAATCTTTTAAGGCTAATAGAAGAGAATGGATTCAAATTAGCTGGTGAATTAGACAGGATTTGTTTTCATAGTTAATGGCCTCTATCTCCATTTTTCTCTAATCCATCAATGATAGGCTCAGATGTCAGATAAAAAACTCCTGGGTAATGAACTATTTTCACCAATAAAAGAAAAATCTGATGGGATCAATATAAAGAAGAAAACTGAGCTGATGTTTAAAGTTTACAGTCAAAAAGGTCAGAAATTCTACGTTTTAATATTTCCACCTCCTGTATGTGTGTCCAACAGGTCAATGTTAACCAAACATTAAAGGAATGATTGTTTTTAGGTTTTAGAGTTTCCATTTAGATGTATTCTCTTGAGGCCTTCCAGAAGGAGGTGAGTTTAGTCTGAATAACTTGAACATGATCTGATTAAATGTTTGCCAAAAGCACATCTCTAATAGAAAACTTTAACACCAATTTCTATGAAGTTACCATGAGTTCTAGCTTTAACCTTTTAGTGTTCAAAGTTTATATTTAGCGTGATCAAACATCTTAGCTACGTAGAGATCTGACATTAATTTGTTTACCTAAATGTTATGTTGCAGATTCCCATAGGAGCCATTTCAGTTCATGACTTATAAATATACTGTAGAATGCCAAGTTTGGTGGGAAAATCTGTTCATTATAGACCCTTATCTTCACTATAATTGGTGATATAACACGGTGTATCTCAGCCCCTTCACATCTGACACCAACATTCGTATCAAGAGATCCAATCATGTCTGAACAACTCTGAACATGGTGTTAACTGTCTATGAACAGATGGTTTTACAAGACCAGATTTGAAGGATGTTTGGTGGGTAAAAAAAAAAAAAAAAAAAAAAAGGAGGGGGAGGGGGTGTTGGGATTGGATGTTGATCACTGAATGTCAAGATGCAATATGAAGAAACTTCTTTTTACAGTCTATGAGGTACTTTCTGAGCGTTTCTTATGTAGATATGGGGATTTAATTAGAAAACATCCAAAAACAGTTTCTAGAATGATATAAATACAAATGAATAAGATATTTCACATCAAAGTGAAGCTCATAAAACACTACATAATAGCCATACCAAGTATGATCTATTATTGAGAGCCCCAGGTATGAAGGTCAGGTTTTCTGCAGGTTTTGAATGCTTAAATGAAAGACTTTAAACATTAAAATGTGTATAGGTATTCTTTAGGCAGGATACCCTGTTGTTTCAATGTTTAACATTTTCAAATCGATTGTTTCCTGTGTTTCGCTTGTGATGCTGAGCAACAACATCTCAAAACTTTTGAACAATTTGTGTAGGACCATTGAGTAATCATAAAAAAAGATTAAATAAACTTGGCAGGCTTTAAAATACTGCCTCAGATCATGGAATTGGTGCTAGACCAAAAGGTAATATTGCAGGATATTCTGAAGTCTTTGAAGCATTAATAATTATAAGATCAAAACAAAAAACAAAGAAATCTAGCTGATTAAACCTAAACTAAAAAACTCTAAAATGAATTGAAGTTCTATAAAATACAGCTTCGGGTTTACTTTGTCCTTTTTATGAGCAAAATGTTAATTTTCATGTTCTAACACATTTTTGGCATTATGACCATCTTAGAATAATAGAATCAAGAAAACTACAATATATGAACTAGGAGAAGAATATTTCACACTAATTGCATTCTTTAAAATATATTTGGTAAGTTTTTAATTTTTTTTTTAATTATTGTTATCAGTAAAGGTGTTGAGAGAAGCTGACGTTAACAAAAAAAAACTGTCTAGAGTTTTATGTTGTAATGCTCTTAGGGGTTGAAGTGACACTTTAGTGTCTCTGCAGTGATGCTACACTTTGTGAAGTCAACACATACTTTGTTTCCTCTCTCTACTTGTATCTCATCTGTTAAGCTACATAACTAAAAGCAGAGTTTGTAGCGAAAAAACCCAACAACTCTAGAGAATCTAAGAAATGTCAAAGTGTGAATAACAGTTTTTTTATGTTTTTTTTTAGCTGACAGTTCAGTGAGTTATGTGACTTTGTTTTGCTTTTTTTGGGAGATAAATATAATAACAAAAAAATATATCTGAGAATAGATGTTGGTCCCAGCTGTGCATGGCTGTGCCTTGCAGGATTTGATTTAATACAAATTTGGCAGGATTCAGGTTAGTACCAGTTCTCAACAGGGCCTATGACTCAAAGGCAACCATGTAACCAGGAAAAAATAAAAAAATAAATCAGTCTCACAATCAACTTGAGAATTTAAAGCAGCACAGTCCTTTATTCCTTAACAAGACACTTGGATTTGAAGATTTGAAGATGATTAATTGGAGGGTTTATGTGCGAAAGGCCAAGCATGCAACAAAGTCACCCACCTTTGCTTCAAATTCCCTGATGAGTCTCTGAGCCTCTTTGAGTCTGTCATTTTCTACAGTTAACTGTACAGAAAACACACACACACATACACCAGAGATGCACACCACATGAACAGGCATGAAACAGCAAACAGGCAGCACAACAAAGAACCACAAATGAGGGTTGGGTTAGATAGACAATGAAAAGAACACTAGTAAACTTCAACAGATAAAAAATTCACAGCAAACACAATAAAGACATGAGAGAAATGAGAAGAGGATGGGGGTTTACACAGTTAATGACAATGGTCGTACAAGGCTTTATTCGCATTATGTCACAATGAGCTTTTTCATGTGCAAAAGGCTGAGTGTGATGTACTTTTACACCTAAAACAAGATGTAATCTATCTTCAAAGGAGCATCAGACTAAAGCGATGACTGTATAAAAGAGACGCTGCACAGCATCTCTGACAGTTGGAGCTCCTTCAAAAACCTTCCATTTCCATTTGTTTTCTCTTCCTGGTATCACAAAAATACATTTGAACTTTGCACCTTTAGATGTGTGATTGGCACCGATTTTAGCATGCTGTTTATATATATATATATATATATATATATATATATACACTTTTCTTCGAAAGGAATGAATTGCGCTTTGATTATTCACTTTCAGCACATTGCCAAAAGTAAGAGAACGGGAACATATTCTACAGATATCAAAATATTTTCTACGAAGTCAGTTCAACTAAGATTCTATGAAGACAGTAGGAACATAAATGTGCACTCTAAAAATGGAAAAAATGAAAACTTTAGTTGAGTGGAATAAGAGAATCTTTTTATTCTTTAAAAACCTTTCCAATGAAAATGCAATATTAACAGCTATTGAATATCTTTATTTCATATGCCATGGTGTTAAAACCAAGATTAGATTATGAGATGGGGGGAAAAAAGGAAGTAAGTGACACAGTCCTGGTTTCTGAGCCAGGATTTAGTCTAACAGTACATCTGCAATACAATGGAAATGTTAGTTTCCCTTTTAAAAAGTGTGTTTTTTTTTTTATTAGACTCTTATCAGATCTTCCAGTCAGGATTAGCTTAAAGCAAGGAAACTGACACTTACAGCTAATATCCTTGATATGTCAGTCAGCAATGCCTCTCAAAGCCATGACTCCCACCACAGTCCATGTTTTAAGGAACTCCCCATACTTTATTAGGCTTTGCTTATCACTGTTTTCCATGTTGCATATCCACCTATTGCTTCCACATGTTTTTCTTCTACCAGACTTCATTGGCAACTACTTTTTTGGTTCCTACCCTCCTTACAAAAGTTTCTGCAGGCTAACTCTTGATTTAGAAGTCCTATGGTTGTAAAGGTTTGCTTTAAGCAACCTTTTTTTGCAATTCAGAACTTCTGAAATATAATGGACAATGAGGGAAAGGTTGCAAAATTTACATAAGATACTTGGAAATTAAACTTTATACTTCAATTTTCAGAGATGTATTCTGATTCAAGCCATCCCAACACCAACAAAGCTCACAAAGAGGTTCCTTTGTTGTGAGCTGGACTGCTTTTGTCATTTAAGTCAAATCTTATAATCAGTCAGGATAGACAGTCTGGCATTAAAAGACAGGGAGAGCAGTCTACTACAGCTCCCGGTCCTCTGGGGTCCTTGCTGGGTCAGCTACAAGCTGGCCAGGTTGTTAAAACCTATTAATGGGCTGGCTCAGTGTGTTCCAACAAACCTCTGCAGTGCTACATTATTCATCACCTCTAGATGTGATTCAAAGAATAGCTTTCTCTCCTGCCTTGAATGATTGCAAGCAAAAGGTTTGGGGAATAGTGGAAGAGTTCTATTTTCTTGTGATTTCAGTGTCCTTTGTTGCTGTTTACCAGCCGAACCTCCTATCAACTCAATTGGGAGATAATCAAACACACACATCAAACATGCTGCTTGTTACAATGCCAAAGTTCTGGAGGAAGACTCTCATTAAACATGTTTGTTCAAAAACAAGGTGAAGAGAGGCAACTCAGACATGCCTGTATTTTAATATCTGACAGGAATTCTGTCGAGGAGATGAAAGGTTAGGGTTAGCTCAAACTTAATTCATATTCAGAAATAAAGACGGCAGTGATCCGAGGCTTTGATGGACAAACTAAATGCATGTCCTCATACTGATCTGAAGGTTCTACGCTCAGACGGGTAATGACTTGTCTAAAGAAGTTCCTCAAACGTGGAATGGGTTCTAAAGAATTGAATAGTGAATGCACTATAAGCCAGGTACTATCACTGAGTGTGCAAGCCCTAAAGTTAGACTTTTTCTTTTTTGGTTAAGCTTCTAAACAGGGTAAAAATCATCATCAATAATGCAGTGTTTGGCAATCTTGACAGCATTTTGTGCATTTTAAAAATTGGACCTAGAATCTAAAATCTATTGGTAATCATATTGAGACTGCTGTTTTAGTAATGCTAACATGCTAAAAGCTAACAATAGAAAACCACATTATTTACAATGACTATGCCCTATTATGATTAGTGTGACATTGCCTCTGCTCTTTATTAGAAGAAATAAAGATAGCAGGTTAGAGCTTTACAGAATCCGTGGATCAGGATCAATCGACCACACAATTTGGATTGATGCTAAACCGTTAATGCTTACATATAACTATTCCTTCCAAATAAAGACTTTTAAGCCTTGTTTTTTACTAAAATTAGTGACAGTATTTATGTGCATATGAAAAGTATAAGAATCCTTGACTTGTACTTGTCAGTAACTCAGTGTTATAGAGTTTATAAAGGTTAGGATGTCACAGAATACTGCTTGCATGACTTTAGCTGAGAAACCCCATGAAATATACTAAACTATGGAGAAAGAGATGGAGAAAAGGGAGTGTACTCTCACCAGAAGAGTCCATTGGTGTGCCTTTTTGCCTGGACCCCAAGCAGTGATTTGTGTTTTTATTGGTGGGGTTGGCTTTGCGCATGCTTTTTGAAAGCAAACCATAAATTGTAACACAAATATGCATGTGATAACCGAGACTCAGGTTAGAAGTGATAAGGGCAAGTAGAGCATAGACCTGGAAATGGGGGACAACTACTGAAGATGCTGCATGCAGCACTTCTGCTGTCTTTCTGAATTTATGTCATTATCCTAGTTGCAAAAACATTATGAGAGTCAGAAGCAGCTCGCTCAGTGAAGGTTTTGAGACATATTTCTAATTTTGGAATGGCATTGAGAATGAGTGCAATCCAAAGGGAACCCACAGCATGCAGGTGGTGGCATTGCTAAGCAACAGATGGTGGACCAGGTATGATTTGAATATGTCTACTGCTACGCTGGCTTGCTGATTTCAACGAGACATATGTTTTATGTGCCTAGGTAGAATCAAGGCCAGTTTCCATTAACATCTTAAGTGAACCGCACCAAAGTCCATTTGGAAGCAGACAGAGACCATCTCAAATAATGGGTCTCGATCGGCTGTTTTGTCTGAAAACAGGGTTTACTTGTGGTTATTCATAACCGCACAAAAGGTTCAGACCAGGAAAGAATGTGAGCTCTGGTAAGGTTAAAGCAGATCAAACATTTCAGGACTAAATACATCCGCAGAGTAGAATCTAAGAGCTGTAAAAACTTCTTAAACCACCATCTAAACATCACTTATTCAATGTTTAGGAGCTAAGAGAAGCAACAGTAAATGAAATTCTGGCGAAAAAAGCAACATCAGAAATGAATCAAGCAATACCATTCCTCCATGCTGGTTTGTATTAAACTCTCAAAGAAGAGAGCCAAACTGGCCTTTTATCCCAAGGCAGTCCTAAAAAGGGTTTTAAATTGCGTTAAAAGGGGAAATAGCAGTCATTTTCAGTGCTCAGAATGGAGGGTTTTGCCTGGGAAGAAACAATGTGGAAGCCAGGAAAAGAAATGCAATCCATCCCTTTAATGATAGAATTTCATAGGAAAAGCTTCAATAAAGCAATTCTCGCTTACAAAGAGCTACAACTTAGGAAGGAGATTGACCCTTTATTAAATCAAGTGGTCTTGCACGGATGATAACTCCCACTTACACCACCTTCACATCTGTAAGTGGGGTGAAAAGATATACTTCTGACCCAATCAGGCTGTTTGTCAGGGAACCATTACTTCTTGATGCGATGATTTTTCAGACACATTTTCATTTACGTAAATGTTTAAAAAGAATATAACCTCTTTCATCTCAGCTTGATCAAAATAACTTTTTGTGCTACTTTTTTTGATGGCATTATAGCTTTCTTGTGGAGTATTTGAACGTCCTTTGTGGATTTACCTGGGCCTCTAGAGTTTGGATTTTGGTTTCCAGCTCCTTGATCTTTTCCTCCTTTTTTTGAGACTCGGCCTGGGCCTCCTGTCGAGCACTGAACTCCTCATCAAACTGCAAAAGAAGAAAAACAAGCATGTCTGCATGTAGATAACAAACGTGTAGAGGGACGTAAAGGTGAGCGGCAGGAGAGTGAACATGGGGGAATCAAGAGTAACAGAAAACAGGCCACTTTACACTTTAAGTTTCAATCCGCAACCCTTACAGCCCTAGAGTCCTGTCATCCTTTGTCTACGTTTAGAGCTTTTTTTTTATGCACGTTGATGGATCTAACCTTTGCAAAAACCAAGGTATGTCGTAACAATGAATTCACCAGCCCAACAGGGTGCACAGTGGAACACCAGGACACAGGTCTCAAGGAAAAAACATTCAGGACCCCTGCAGTTAGCGGACAGGTAGTTGAAGTATAGACTGTATCTTTCCTTAATACAGAGCACAAAATAGTAGATGCTTAACTTCAGATGTCTTTTGTTTTACTTTGTTGTTTCAACAACACCTCTGAGGTCATTTGACCAAAAAGATCAGTGTGTTTTTCAGAGGGACGTCACGTTTAGTGAAAAATTTATTATACAATTTAAAACATGAGGTTACTGATTTACCACAAAAGCTGGAAAGTTCAATTCAGTTTTATTAGCAGCCTCCAAGACTGATGATTGTTAAACCTGTAGCATCAATAAATAGAGCCGGTTTGTAAACTGGAAGTTTAACGATGATCTTAAAAAGTAGCATGGATCTGAGTCCATGTTTCTATAATTCTAAACAAACTAGGTTAAAAAAAAAAGTTTCACAGCAAAACAACCATCTGTTCTATAAAAACAGTAAGGGTAATTTCTCATGTGCCAAAAAAAGGTTCCATGATCTCCAAGGCTGTTTCATAAGCATGTTGACATCTAACAAAACAAAACCATAGCTTTTTTTGGCCATTACAGGCATACAGCCTTTCAATAGATAACCAGAACACCAATAAGCAGGTGGTAGTTCGACATACTGAGGCTGCTTTAGGACAGAGACAACATGCTACTATATAAAAATGGAAACAAAAATGTTACTTTTAACAGATAACATCCTTAATTTTTAATCTAAATCACAGGTCTATTTGGGTAAGAAGAAAGATAATGATATAAAATACTAAATAGATGAGAATAAATCTAAATTAAAGTTTAAGATTAGCCACGTCAAAGTCAATCTAAAATTCCAAATGAAGTCATTTAGGCTAAAACTCTTTAATTTCTATGATGCCTGTTGGCTGTCAGCACCAAGGAGGCACAGGGAGTTCTATTTAATAATCAAATTTTTTGCTGGATAGTTGTTTTTTTTTTCCTCTCTTAACAATTATCAGAAAACATTTTTTTTTCTAATTCCTCTTATCCTTACTCGAATAATCTTTATTTGATGATTTGACACACTGCACTCTGAGTAAAACGGTTGAAAACCGAAGAAATCTGTGAGGTTGCAAACACTTTTTCAAACCACAGCGAGTAACTGAATCTCCCTGAACCAATAAGTGAGGTCCAGCCTGAAATACCAAATGACATCAAAGGTTTTCCTCATAACTTAACTCTCCCCGAGCTCGTGCACAAATAAGTATACATCAGAACATCACCATTGATTCCTGTAATGCTGATACAGATCATGTAGCGTCACAGCCAGCTATTGATCGTGGCATGCAAAATCAATAGATTGTCTGGGTGCTCCGGGGAAGAAAAAATGTCGCTGATTGGAGCTCACCAATCTGAAGGGGGGTAGGGGGGGTTGAGTGATTAATGTCTCACCTTTTTAGAATACTCCACAGCCTTCTGCTCACTCTCTTCAACTTTGGCTTTATCCACACACTGATCTGCAAGGCAAGATGGGCGTGAGATACTTCAAAGGCATCTAGGGTGCATTGTGAGACTTTGACATAAGCTGGCATCTACGTTTGAAAGTGTGCAAACCCGATTTGGCCAACTCGCCTGGGCTGTGAGGGTTTTTTATTTTAGAAAGTGTTAAAAATGTCTTGTACCACGAGTCTTTTTTCATTAAGACTGCCAAGATGTATTTTAAGAAAGCCAGCACTTAATCATCTCCCAAAGGAATAATTTTAAACTCCTTAATTCAAAGTTCCTCAGAATGCACAGAATATCAGATGATTTCCCGATACCTCAGATCAGAGAACAAAGAGCTGGCATGATGTCTTAAATGTATTAAACCTGAAGACGGGTTGCATTACGCTCATGTCCCTTTCTTCTATTTTCTGTTTTAATTTACTCACTGAAACATATTTAAAAGAGTAATTTTCTATTTCATCTGCTATGTAATGTTGTGAGTCTGAAGCATAAGAAAAATCAGAGTTTAGACTTCAGTTGCATTGCACTTATTTTTCATTTAGATCATTTTTCTTTATGTGCTTCACATGTAACTAAACTTGAGTTATTTAAACACAGAACCAGTCTACAAGGGTGCACTGTAACTCCATATCATTTTATACGACTTTCTTCTTCTTCTTCTTCATTGATTTGCCTTTCATACAAAATGACTACATATATGCAGTCTCATTTTCGTATCTCTGGCAAAAGTTATTTCAAAAATCTTATGAGGTGCACGCAACAGTGTTTATACATTTTATCACATGTTGCCACCAAAGTAAATTTCTAAGATTGAAGGTGGAAAAACAAAATATGAAAAATGCAACAGGAATTTTTACTTAAACAGCCATAACTTAAATGCAGGGCAACCTATTGTCTTTTTGTGTTAGCTAAGCATTAAACGGAGCCTCCCTGGGTCATTAAATGGCTTTTTAAGGTTTGATAGAGAACATTGGTGTACAAATAGCATGAAGACATAGCAAAACATCCGAGGGGGTCGGGGGTTAAGCTTATTGCAGGGTTAGGTTCTTCCTCATCTGCTGCCAAGGATCCTATGGTGACCATGGGTTCAGGTGGGATAATGCCTCGAGTCTGTCACTGACAGAACTGATGCCAATCAATGCCAATCAATATACAGAGGCTCCAAAAAACCTGAGACTTTTACAGGTTTACCTTCCAGCAGGAGGCCTCAGCACAGAACCAAAGCTACAAAGGATTGGCTTAGACCGAAGCCTTTTAATGTTTGAATGACTCTGTTAGGGTCAAGGCCTAGGTCTGTGGCAACATACTGAACTTGATCTTCACAGATGTTCTCAATACAATCTCACTGAACTTTGGTGATTCTTAAAAGAAGGAGGAACAAGACTTTTTCTCTCTCTACATGTTCAAAGCTTGTAGAAATCTACCAATAAGGACCTGCAGCTGTTATTGCAGTAAATACTGCTTCTTCAATGTATTAACTCAATCTGTATTAAGAAACAGGAGTAAACAATGCAGAAAATTCAGATTATAAATCCCCTACGTATCAGCAAAGAAAAAATTAAAGCTTCAACTAGCAGGGTGCAAGAAATGCATTTCACACTTTTTACCTTTCTATTTGAAAAGGTAAGCAAAAAAAGCTGAAGAAAATATGTATTCTTCTAATTCTAATTCATTCATGTTATGCATTAATTTGCATTGGTGCATCTCATAAAATTCCAATAACAAGCAATTCACTTTGTTATGATAATGTGAAACATAAAAACTGAACATTTTTCAGCACTTTCAATATTTCCAATAGGCAGAGTGAATGGTTGGTAAAGCATTAAGTGGAGCTTGTTTGATGGATAATTGGGAGGAAGTGTATCAAAAGCTGAACTCAAACAAAGCCTTCAGACTGGATGTTAGAACACATTTTACATATTTAATGACCAATAAACACAGTTTAAAATAAAATTCAACATATAAGCAAAAAAAAAAATGCTAAAATAGAAAACATTTCTACCCCCATGTGACTTTTATTTAACTTCAGCAAAGTGAGACAGAAAGCTCCATGCAGCATCTGTTCTCCGGGGATAAGTTTAAAAAACTTTTAATGACCCTTTGTTGGCAACTCACTAGCTAGTGACAACACTGTGAGACAAAGTCAATTTATCTTATTTGTTCAAGTAAAAAAAAAAAAAAAAGTCTCATTGGAAATGCAGCTCAAAACGAAGGCTGTCTGCAAAACTCAACAAACACAAAGGAATACAAACAGAAGCAGCCAAGATACTCTATTATATGATTCATTTGACACAATCAAATACAGGTGCTGGTCATAAAATTAGAATATCATGAAAAAGTAGATTGATTTCAGTAATTCCATTTAAAAAGTGAAACTTGTATATTATATTCATACATTACAAACAAACTCATATATTTCAGATGTTTATTTTGTTTAATTTTGATGATTACAAATGACAACAAATGAAAATCTCAAATTCATCATATCAGAAAATTAGAATATTGTGAAAAGGTTCAAAATTGATGGCCCCTGGTGCCACACTCTAATCAGCTAATTAACTCAAACCACCTGCAAAAGCCTTTAAATGGTCTTTCAGTCTAGTTCTATAGGCTACACAATCATGGGGAAGACTGCTGACTTGACAGTTGTCCAAAAGACGACCATCGACACCTTGCACAAGGAGGGCAAGACACAAAAGGTCATCGCTAAAGAGGCTGGCTGTTCACAGAGCTCAGTGTCCAAGCACATTAATAGAGAGGCGAAGGGAAGGAAAAGATGTGGTCGAAAAAAGTGTACAAGCAAGAGAGATAACCGCACCCTGGAGAGGATTGTGAAACAAAACCCATTCAAAAATGTGGGGGAGATTCACAAAGAGTGGACTGCAGCTGGAGTGAGTGCTTCAAGAACCACCACACACAGACGTATGAAAGACATGGGTTTCTGCTGTCGCATTCCTTGTGTCAAGCCACTCTTGAACCACAGACAGGGTCAGAAGCGTCTTGCCTGGGCTAAAGAGAAACAGGACTGGACTGCTGGTGAGTGGTCCAAAGTCATGTTCTCTGATGAAAGTAAATTTTGCATTTCCTTTGGAAATCAAGGTCCCAGAGTCTGGAGGAAAAGAAGAGAGGCACTTCATCCACGTTGCTTGAAGTCCAGTGTAAAGTTTCCACAGTCAGTGATGGTTTGGGGTGCCATGTCATCTGCTGGTGTTGGTCCATTGTGTTTTCTGAGGTCCAGGGTCAACGCAGCCACATACCAGGAAGTTTTAGAGCACTTCATGCTTCCTGCAGCTGACCAACTTTTTGGAGATGCAGATTTCATTTTCCAACAGGACTTGGCACCTGCACACAGTGCCAAAGCTACCAGTACCTGGTTGAAGGACCATGGTATCCCTGTTCTTAATTGGCCAGCAAACTCTCCTGACCTTAACCCCATAGAAAATCTATGGGGTATTGTGAAGAAGAAGATGCAATACACCAGACCCAATAATTCAGAAGAGCTAAAAGCCACTATTAGAGCAACCTGGGCTATCATAACACCTGAGCAGTAACACAGACTGATCGACTCCATGCCACGCCGCATTGCTGCAGTAATACAGGCCAAAGGAGGCCCAACTAAATACTGAGTGCTGTACATGCTCATACTTTTCATGTTCATACTTTTCAGTTGGCCAACATTTCTATAAATCCTTTGTTTTTATTGGTCTTCAGTAATATTCTAATTTTCTGATATGATGAATTTGAGATTTTCATTTGTTGTCATTTGTAATCATCAAAATTAAACAAAATAAACATCTGAAATATATGAGTTTGTATGTAATGTATGAATATAATATACAAGTTTCACTTTTTAAATGGAATTACTGAAATCAATCTACTTTTTCATGATATTCTAATTTTATGACCAGCACCTGTATACTTTTCTGAAAAGTTTAATCTCTTTTTATGTAAGTTTATAATAATAACAAGACATGCAAAGTCTTTTTTTACATATAACAAGTTAAGGTATCAAATAATCATATTTCAAACAAATCTACAAAAGACTAGAACAGTCTTACACTTTATTTAATTTTTTTTAATGCAAACTATTTGTAATTAGTTTAGTTGTAGAACAGTCAAGGTTTCTATAAGGCTGGGCTGTTTCATTATGAAATTACTTAAAGACTGGATATAGTGCATCTCTCTATGAAAATCTGAGACAAATGCACAATCCAGACATTAAGCATGTTTACATGCTGACTGTCTTTATACAAAAAAAGGCTGATGAGAAGAGAAATGCTTTATGGAAAGAGGGAAAAAAGGAACATTATGGTTGTTGATGGGAATTAAATCATATTCTGGAGGGAGAGGGTTGGTTTATGCCAATCCATAATCCATTTTAAACACTTGGTTGAATCATTACATTCAGATTGGGGCAAACTAACCTAAATGTGCATATGTGTAATAATCTTGCTAATTAAACTTATGATTATACTGCAACAGTGATATTATTTTACTAACAAAAGGTTGCTCTTCAATGATATTTAAAGCATGAAGCAGTTCTAAGGTTACCAATGAGCTGGGTGAAGTCCACATCCAATCGTTTACTGTAGCCAAAGTCGGGGTCCGTCCCACTGCGATGCAGAACCACCTGTGATATGCATTCCTCGATCACCTTGTAGTACTGAGGTCTGGGAGAGGTCACAAGACAAAGCAGAACCATTAGACAAAAAAAGGTATGAGTGACACAAAGCCCACGAGGCTAATTAGCCACAAATGATTCCCTTATCCAAGTAGAGGTCACAAAATGCCATGGCAAAAAAGCCTACTCCTACTGGAGAAAATAGGTGCACCATTAAATTTGATCACTTGCTTCAACCCTATCATGAAATTAGTAGATTAATGGTGACACAGAAACCCAACACATGATCGTCTGTCCATTTCAAGGTGACTGACGGCAGACAAGCCTGAGCCTGCCCCTCGCATAATTTGCAATCTTCTTTGCCAATTAGGACGACCGTAAAAACTGAAATGTAAATCTAATCAGTATAATGTGTGTAATTAAAATCACAATGGCCAGGAAAAACATGCCAGACAGCTGGGAGTGTGACTGAGAGCGTGGCTTCGTCAAAGACGGACTGTGAATCACCCCTGAAAGTACGCTGCCACCGAGCAGGTTGGTATGTGACCTTTTCTGTGTAACATTATCAACTTTAATTGCAAGTGACATTTAGCAAATACAATGCCATCTTAAGCTGGGCTCCAAACTGAGAAGTAATTATTTTCTAACCCTGACACAGGCCAGCGTTTGATGTTTAGATCTAAAACTGAAACCAGTCTTTTCTTTTATTATTATTCTTCCAAAGGCTAAATGTCTTTTGATTTGCAAGTCAAAAATGTTTTAAACATGGTGAGGCTTGGTAATCCCAAATCCAACAGCCTAATAAAATAAAACTTAACTTTAATATATGAACGTATGAGGAATTAAGGAGACGAAACAACAACTTTAGTTTAAAATTAAACCTACATCTCATATCATGTGATGTGATCAGTCAGCTTCCGGTGGACCTACAGTTGGGATGCTCAGGTCCAGTCCTCAAAAGCTACTATCCTGCAACTTTTTGATGAACCCAATGTTTAACACACCTGAATCAAATGAGTGGCTCGTTAACATGCCTCTGCTGGCTAGTTAGCCTCATTAGCCTCTGCTGAGCTAAATGAGGGGATTCAGCCTTTAGGTGCAGGTGTGGTAGAGAAGAGATGCATCTAAAAGTTACAGGATGGATGGATGAGCAGACGGATGTTGATTTAAACCTGGTTGTGTGATATAAGCTGGAAAACTACTAAATACTGAGCCCTGTGACCTCCCTGGTAAATATTTGCAATAAGGCTTAAATATAATTATATTTTTTTATGGTAGTGGATATGCCTTTGAGAAATCTAATGACTAAATCAACTGTGCAAAGATCAGGCACACCTACACTGTATTATATGCTTGTCAGTTAACCTTTCCTTCTAGTCTTAGTTTATGAGTAAGAAACAATGCCTAAGAAGTCTTTGTGACTTAAGAAAAACAAGACAAGAAAATATGCAACTTAGGTGATGTGGTAATTTCAAAAACCAAGGAAACAGCTACAAGATATCTGCTGCTTTACATACAGTAAGAGTATCGTTCAAAATATCTCAAAGAGGCTGGTACTGTTACAAACCATTGATGAGGCAAAGCAAGGCCAGTTTATTTGTATAGCATGATCCAGTGAAAACACAATTTAAAGTGTTATACATAGGAAATAACAAAAAGAAAAGTATACTGTACTACAAAAAGGACAACCTAAATAACTAACTAGAAAATGATTGTTTAAAAAAAAGATTTATAAAATAATAAGAAGAAAGACGGTTGGCCTGAAAACCTGACTAACAATGTTTCCATAGCAGTTAAAGGCCATTCTAAATAAATGTATCTTTAATCTTGGTTTTAAGCAAGCAAGGGTTTTACTGCTTGTTGGGCGTTTATTCCAAATTGGTGGAGCATAAGAACTAAAAGCTGCTTCTCCTGGTTTGGTTCTGGTTCCAGGTATGGAAAGCAGATGAGAGCCAGAAGACCATAGAGGTCTGGGTGGTTACACTTACACTTAAGCTTAAAGTACCAGAAGGCAGTCATACATTTTGAAGCTAAGTCATTGAATGATTTATAGAATGCCAAAGGTACCTTAGAATATATTCTCTGAGATATAAGGAGCCAGCTTAACGAATTTAGAGCTGAGGTGATGTACTCCGATTTTACAGGACCAGCCTAATTGAATGTTGGCAACAATAGAACCTGTTTTATGAGGTTTCATTTTTACATGGGTTATTAAGCTTGATCAGGACGTTGATAGTAACTTATCCAAATACAAGGTGCAAAATGAATGGACCAGTGAATCAACTCTTGCACAGATATTTAACATAAGTAATATTAAATGTAAACTTTGAACTTAACTGTTACATTGTAAAATCCAAACGTATACTATAGAGATAATTCACTGCATTCAACAATGGATCAAAGTGATCATGAGTTTGTGAGAAAGCCAAATGGCCTGAAGAGGAAAACAAGGACTTCCTCACCATCATATCTTTCCAGGGGATAAACAATGATCTGTGTATAATCCTAGAGTACTTCAGTAATGTGTGTGAAAGCCTGGATAGATAAACCTGAAGCAAATGGATGAAGCATAACTATTAAAGGGGAAAGTTATTAGCATCAGGAAAACAGACACCTGATGGAACAATTAGGTCCCTCACATCTCTATTAAATTTACAATTAAGGAAACAGCTACATGTGTTTTATTTTACACCAGTGGATGACAGTAAAAGATCCACCTCTGCACATAAATATGCTAGAGCTTAATATTCTTTTTAGCTTAATCTAGATTGACCAATTGATCTATAAACACGGTTCTCTAAGAATATTGCTGAAATGTGATAATTGATTACAGCAGACAGAAATGTGAACAAAGTATCTGCTGCTAGGTGCGTTAATTAGGTCCAAAAAGACCAAAAAAATATGTCAGTGAAAAAATGAAAAGAAAAGTAGTAGGACTTTGTTAACATCAAACCTTAAATAAAATAGAGCTGGCCTGTTTACTCTAACAGCTTATTTCAGACTACTTTTTTATTGGTGATATACTGTGGGTGGACAGGGCCTATCGCACTAGAAATAGAAAAAGAAAACCAACTGCAACAAAGAAAGAAATCTTCAGCCAAAGTAAATAAGAGTAACCCAGCTTTTAGGTAGCTGTTTGAAAGTGAAAATGCCAAGCATTAATCTGGAGCTGTTGGATTCACCCACTCATGACTGGCACAAGCTGGTGAAAGCTTACACAACATTGCTTAAGCACTGTGGGACTCGGCTTACAACTGTCACGAATGCGCACCACATTATTATCTCAATAAGCCACACTATTTTCCCCTTGTCCTCCGCTGCCGCCACCAGGCAGATAGAGACTGGGTGGAGATAACTAGAGACGGAGAGAGTGACCCAGAACTGTCATTGCCCTTCCACAGTGGGAAGGGCTGGGCTCCCGAAGCGAGCATATGTCCTCAGCATCATCCTCAACCTCTTCTTTTTCTTTTGGCACCTTCATTTCTTCTAGTGATAACTTGTGGTTCAGCTCAGCCCCAGCCACTTGATCCAGCCCTGCTCCACATAACCGGTCTAATCCCCATATCACCAGGCTCCAAAAGAGCAGATCTGCTCTATATTTATTGGGTGGGTTCGTTGCGTTCCAATTCATTAAACTTGTTTGTAAGGAAAGATTAATTATCAAAAACAAATCCTGCCCAGGAGGACGAAAACAAAACAACTTATGGTTTGCTAGATTTTATAGTAGACAGAGCAGGTTTGTCCCTTATTGGATTATTTAATGCTATGCTACCTTAAGTTTGTAAAGGTAATGAGTGTAGACCTGATTAGAACTGAAAAAACAAACCAAAAAATTGAAAATATGGTTCCTTGCAAAGGTTAATTTATTTATGTTTTTTTATTTTTTTATTTTCTTGGATCGTAAAACAAATATGTCACTGGGGAGTGAAATGAAAAGGAAAAACAGTTTTCAAAACCTGTGAACTACATAAATCTTAGACGTGTGCAGTGAAAATTAAAGTTAAAAATCAACAGTATCATTTAGAAACACGGAACACATCAAACCAATCATACAAATAGTTATGAAGTTTAGGTTTCTAATCAAAATCCCAGTTCTTTGAATTCCAAGAGATATCAAAAGTGTAAATCAAAAGTAGAGTATGGCCCAACTGTAAGGGTAGGAAGCATTATTAAAAGAACAAGCCAAAACATGACTGGCAGCTCTGAAGGTACTCCCAGCTCATTAAAGGACAGGAAAACTATTAGCTATCTACTCAAGAAAACTAGCTTTTATGGAACACTAGAAAAAAAAGAAACCACTTCTGGAATAAAGGCATAAGAAGAACCACTTGTCGGAGACAGAGATGTTTAAAGAAGGTGCTCTGGTCACGTGAGACTAAAGTCGAATGTTGCAACATTCATGGTGAAAATCCTTACAAATCGATGAGAACCATGGTTCATAGTGAACCTCAGTGGTGGAAGCATGATGCTGAGATAATCCCACCCATTAGAGGTGAGAGGGATGAGCTCGTTACTGTTTAGAAAAAAAGAGACAAAGAGGATATGAAAGGGAATCAAAGTGAAAATCTATCAGTACCTAAAAATGCATACTGTCAATATTTCCATCTCTAAAAATGCAGAAGCTGTTGGAGGGCAACTGGGAAAAAAAAGAGTCGCAGATGTATTAACAGCCAACGGTGGCGTTTTAAAGCATTGGCTCAACGGGGCTAAATACTAACTGATGTTAAACTAATGATATGATTTTTATTTGTAAAGAATTTGAATTTTTTGCTTCCCTTTGTAGTTAACACATAAAGAATGTGATCAAGTTGAAGGGATATGATTACTTTAACTACTGTATAGTGAGACTGACAGAAAATTATGAAGTCTCCACAAGAAGTTTTGTAAATTGGTATAAATTTTTAGATCTCACCAAAATGCACTTAGTTCAACTGCAAAACTTAAATCCTTTTGAGACAGAGGAAATAAACAGCTTTTATCTGAAAATGTTGCATGGACCACATTATTCATACATCTTATATCATCCAAACTCTGCAGCTGTGATGTATGGGGAGTCAGATATCTCAATCTTGGTGCCTTTCTGCTTTTATTGTTTGTGCTCCAGGTTTAAAAATGAACAGAACCAAATATCCAGATAAAAAGATCATAACAGCTTCTGCTCCACGGAGTGTTACATGGTCTAAGGAGCAGAGGTAGACTTGGCGGAACTGGATAGTTAATATGAATTCTATTTCTCACTTCCACCAAATAAATGAGGAATGTATTATGCATGACTCCGAGGGGACAGCAACTTGTCTTTGCTAAATTCATCTACCTCCTCTTATCCTTATCTTCAAACTTTTTTAGGTCTCAGTTCTGCCAAAACTTCTGACACAGCATGGAATTATTCAGTCTCTTTATTAAAAAGGAGTCTGTCTCGTTTTACAGTCGCTGGCTAATCTGCATTTCAAAAATCAGTCTAAAAACAGAGTTTAAATTTTAGAGTGGCTTTATTTCTCAAAAACAAAGCGATTGGTTTTGACTAAAACTGCTCCCAGGATAGAGATCATTCAGACAGAGCAAACACAGAGTGCATGCATACTATTTAACAACTCCTTCCTCCTATGAAACAAACCTACACTCAGCCATTTAAAGCTGTTGGCTGGAAATCCACCAATTTAAAGAATCTAACATGCAGATTTCAATGATTTAACACTTCTATTAAAGGTAAGCAGTGTTGCCTATATGGTAGAGAGTGAACAGAAAACAATTATCTTTGGATTAATAACTAAAACCTATGACAGAATAGAGATATGAGGGAAAAAAAAACAAAAAAATAATGTCACTGCTTACCTGTTTAATGATTAAATAAAGAAAGCTTGAAGATATGAAAAAGGTTACGAATTGTGGAAAGAGTGTATCAACAATAAAGTCAAAATAACACTGCTTTGTGTAAATGAGAAAATAACTTAATATTTTAGAACAGGATTGAATAGAGAAACTCTTAGCATGCAGACGTCTTGTCAGGGAACACTACTTGGAGGAAACATCATTCTAGCTTTTTGCCTTTTCGAGATATTATTTTGCACTTTATTCGTAACATACTGTCTTCAGTCTTGAACTTATTTATATTCTGTAAAGAATAAGAAAAATCATTTGTGGGAAGAAAAAAAAACTTTTTATTACCAAGTTACCTACATACTCCTGCGCAAGGAAGCAGATCTTTGTCTCAGATACTAGATAAAAATTATCTTTTACTCACGTATAGACATTATGTTAGATCAGTTGTTAAAGTAATGTGAATTACATTTTCACAATCCCAAAATACACAGGTAAAACATTGAGTAGAGCTTTTTAACAAGAATGGAGTCTAGACTGCATTTGATAACCTCCAATTCAAAATCTAAAATATTCGGACAAAACCTGACCTTGAAATAATGAGATAATTTTCTCATTGAGGTTACGTTCCCATCATAGAGTGCTAAACTTTCTGTATTTCTTTTTTTTTGTCAATCTTGTTTTCTTTTTTTTTGCTATTGTTTTGAAGCACAAATGTTGTATATAAGATATGTAATGTCAATTGAATAGATTTTCGTCCTACCTTCAAATATAGTTTGAGCTTATCGGACATTTAGGAAGAAGTTGACACTTTGATTTACGTTTATGTTTCTAAAATCTTGACAAATCTGGACTAAATTACTGAACAGACAGATATTTATCAAACTTTTACCAAGAAGTCAGTCTGGATCCCTATAATGTAGGACTTAAAGGAATAGTACACCCAAAACATGATTAGCCTTCATTTTCTACTCACCCCCATGCTGAACAAAACTCTGGAGTACTTTTTTGATATCTCAAATGCATCTGGAGATCTGGGAGGCTTCTTGCTGTCTGCTGACATTCAAATAATGGAGGTCTATGGCGCCCGAGACAGAAAGGTCCACAAAAGTCCACAAAAACGTGTCAATATTCCTCCATACTGCTCGTCCAATGTAATCCAAGTGTCCTGAGTGGGTAGCACCCAGAATTTACTCGAAACGAAGTCATTTAGAACGTTTTAGAGCCTAAACAGTAGTGTATAGGATTTCCTAATAGCGCCCCCATGCGCGCTCACGATTCTACGGAAGCCGGCAGACCAAACCGGAAGGAGGTGCGCATTCAGCGTCTGCTCTGCCGATGATGCAAGCGTAGAAGAAGAAATGTGCTGTTTACCTGTGCAAAGAAAGAAACAACGAAAGAAAAATGTCTGAGGACTTCAGTGTTGAGGAAGAGCATGAGTTCTTTGCCGAGCTGAATGCGCTGGTTTGGTCTGCCGGCTTCCGTAGCGTCGTGAGCGCGGATGGGGGCGCTATTAGGAAATCCTATACACTACTGTTTATGCTCTAAAAACATTCTAAATGACTTCGTTTCGAGTAAATTATGGACGCTACCCACTCAGGACACTTGGAATACATTGGACGAGCAGTATGGAGGAATATTGACACGTTTTTATGGACTTTTATGGACCTTTCTGTCTCGGGCGCCATAGACCTCCATTATTTGAATGTCAGCAGACAGCAGGAAGCCTCCCAGATCTCCAGATGCATTTGAGATATCAAAAAAGTACTCCAGAGTTTTGTTCAGCATGGGGGTGAGTAGAAAATGAAGGCTAATCATGTTTTGGGTGTACTATTCCTTTAAACGTTAGTAGTTTTAGTTGTTTCATAAAAAAAGGAACGATAGATTTAAAAGGACCTTAAATATTTTCAGATTTCCATTAGTCTTCTCACCAACCCTGATCTTAACCTTTAACATGGCAGTCTGATCTTCAGATGATTCATCTCATTAAATGTTTCACACAAAGAAAAACTGAAGTGAACTTACAAGATTCTTATAATTGTATACTTTATTTATCACAACTAGCGATCCTGTTGCTACAGAATTTGATACTAAGCCAGTTGAGATTCCGAAAGTTTATGTTACATTAATAGATCAACCCTACAAAACTATACACCTTTAGGAGCTACCTGTATTCATCATGAAAGTAAAATCTCTGCATTTTTCTGTATGCCTGCTTCTGTCTCCTTGAAACGCAGGCGGCCTCGGCTGATAGCTGCTCACACTGCGCCTGGTTCTAATAATTTCTTCCTGTTAAAAGGAAGTTGTTCCTCTCCACTGTCGCTACAACCATGCTCCGTGTGAGGGATAGCCTTCTAGTCAATGGGTCAATGCAGTCAGCTGGTTTTTTTCTTAAATAGAAAACATTGAACCAATTCTGTTTTTGTAAAGTGCCTTGACATGATGTGTGTTGTGAATTGGCACTATATAAATAAACTGAATTTAATTGAATCAAAGGTCACAGATAAAAATTGGCCTTTACATTTTTGGCTGTTCAACACCTTTATTAAAGGCAGATTTCAAACGGGTGAGGAGATGGTGGAAAATCTACAGGCATCAGTTAAAGATGTACCATGATGCAAGTAAAATCAAATTGATGGGTTAGTAGGTATTGTATCTGCTATGAAACAGCAAGTCAAGAAGCTATAGAGGAGGAAAGCGAGAGTCTCAACAGGTCATCAGTCAATACAAGGCTAGCAGTATGAAAAGTCAAACAGAACTTACCTGATGTAATAGTCATTCCTGATAAGCAATAGATGCTGAAGGATTGACAGAAAGTAGGGCTCTGAAGCGGTGTCTTTCACCATATTTGACAGGAGATGGTACACTTCATTCATATCAGTGAGAGAGCAAGGTTAAGGAAAAAAACAACTTTTTTTTTTCTTAAATCACACAACAATAAAAGCACCAAGCCTGACAAACTTATTCAACTCATTTAAACCTTTAAAGGTTTATTAAGTTTTTTTTTTTTTTTTTTTCATTAGAAGCATTTCTTTTTTCAAGATTGCAGTACACTGACAGGCATCCTAGTATGAAAGTCAACAGATATCATTTCTCATTGTCTCTCAGGGGAACTATGACTTTAAACTGCTCGGTTGAAAAGGGGGACGTGGATTGAAGAAGGCTCCCACTGGTTTACCTGTCATTCCAGACATTTCTTTAAAGAAATACCACACTAATTCCATTAATAGTCACACAATGCTTTAAATTACAACACTAATTGATTTTTTCTAGGGTAAAAGTATATGCCAGGCTTAACCCTTGTACTGAATAGAGTTGCATGCACAAGCAGAATGTTAGGCTATTAAATTTGCAAAAGCTATTGACTGTATATCTTCCCTTGCTTTCTAAAAGAGGATCTAATGATAGCTTGACGTCTAAAAGCAACTGGTAAATCTAATAGGCCTTTTAATGTTTTAAATCTAAACCCAGCAAGCAATGCATAATGACTGGAAGCATTTGTTTTGACCTTTTAATTGGTCAAAGAGGAAAGAGTTTGCTGTTGACATGTCCTACCATGAAGCAACGCAGGGTGTTGGAAATGGTGAGCAGTAATAGTGAAATCTGTAATTTTACTACCTTAGAAAGCAGAACTTAAGCCTGCAGGCTCATCATGTCTGTCTGAAAGTTAACATGCACATTTTGGCTTTTAATGATGCACATCAACCACAGTTTTTCAAGCGATGCATATGCTCGAGTTGGTAGATTCGAGACAATTTACAGAGGTTCAAAATACTAATGTAAACAAATATTTTGAGGACATTGAGGTTCTAAGATTTGCTGGGCATCTGACCACTTATAATAAATGGTACATACATTCATCCTCTTTATACCATTTTGACCCTCAGCCTGTGCTGCAAATTCCTGATGATCAGAGTCAATGAAGTTGACATATTAAAGATCAAAACCTTAAAAATAGGCCTAGAATTGTAATGAAAAGCCATTGCTGCAATGGGTGTATGTGCACTCCTGAGTGAAACAGAGCAAAAAAACGGTAGGCTGAAGAGAAAGGGCCCTGCTACGCCTCAAGAGAAGATTTAAATCTGAACATAAATGGTGGATTTTCACTACCTGCGTTAAGAAGTTGAAACAGAATACCCACAATGTCATCAAGTGTTAAAGGCAGCACATGGATCCAAAAGATGTGTGTTCAGGATCTAAGGGTTGCATCACTTGTCAGGCCCGGGTTGTCTCAGCTGCATTTGGAAAAGATCAATGCTTTTAAATGCAGCTCCACCGTTCTCCTAATCAATGTTAACAGCCTCTGTAATTAAAACACTTTAATTTTTTTTTTTTTTCAGACAACCAGAGAGAGAAATTAGACTTCTTAAGTTTAATTTCTCTCCCATGCATTACCTGCATAAAAGGCCTGGGAGAATTATCAGCCCTGAGAGATTCAATTATAACCACATCTCAGAAGGGAGAGAGAGCTCAACCTGGGAGTGAGCAGAGCTAGGTTCATCTATCACTAAACATCGTACATAATCCTGATGTAAACTCTGAGCTTTTCAATGCCATCCCCTTCACCCAATCCAAGCATTTCTTTCTCCCTCTAGGTTTCTCTCTGTCTCTTAAAACATTCTCTCTCTCTCCAAATAATGAATAAACATGAGTGGCAGTCAAGTGTGATGTAGGCCAGTGATGGCGGGGTCAATCAATCAACATTTCACAGTTCATTAATATTTATTAGAGGCCTGGAGTCATCTCCTTAGCACCTGGACCTGGAGCCGGACAGAGGAGAGGACTCTCTTCAGGTTAATATTTATGAAACCGCTGGGAGAAGCAAGACACATTTGCAGGGCTCAGGTGGTGGAAGTCCTGTGTGTTAGGATGTGTGTTTCTCATTTTGTGTGCGCTCCATGCAAACAAAAGGACAAAGGGTAACCTGGGTTTTCCAATCAGGGCCATACCTCGCAGATCAATACCGCATTGTCCTTGGAAACAAACATTAGGCTTCTCATTTGTGAACCTTCTCAAGCACATCATTAATCCAGCTACACCCCCACCCCTCTCTATGCACACATACGCCTCCCCTCACAAGAGTCACACCAAACTGTCAGTCACAGTGGCACTTTTATGCTTCTTACAAGGGCTGTGGAAGAAAATGGTTGCAGGAACAAGCATCTACATAATGTCAGAGTCTGGTTCGTCTGCTCACAATGTCAGCTATTCATACATGGCCTAAGAGAAGATTTCTGAATTATTAAAGAGCTCTTCTCTCGGATGTCAGAAGAAGTTTGCCACTTAGGACAAAATCCGTGCTCCTCTTATTACTTAGATGCTGAGATTTTGTAGCCAAACAGTGGAAAGCGAGTGTAGAGATAAAACTCTGTCTGAACTAGTAAGAAGAAATAAAAAAAGGTTATATTACAGCATTACAGTGGTACCTTGGTGACTTCGAATACAGTTAAAAATGTGGGTTTTTTTTGTATTTAGCATTTGAATTCAAACAGGGAAACTCATAATGTGGAATTATTACACTGAGAGATACTTTAGTCATTTGCATATCTGAGCTTGTAAAATTTGAAACATGTTTTCTTTTGACTTTACGTATGAACAATTGCCTATTTATTTCTATACACTTCAAGACCTCTGTTTATTGCTGTTCTCACTCAATAACTGCTACAATAACAGCATATTTTTTGTATTTATGTGTAAAACTGTCATGGAGCGAATGGATCATATTTTTGTTTGGTATACACTGAGGACAAAAAATGAATGACAATGTAAAAAAAACGTCTTGTGAACTTAGTTTGATTGTAAGCAAATGAAAACAGCAAATGATAAAAGGCCAACAAAAACACCATTTAGTTACGGGAAAATTAAAAAAATATTCTCTTGTGGCCTTTGTAATCTTGGAGAAGAATGCTGAGTCATTTACACCCTCCTACAGGAGAAGGAACAACAAAAAGTTCATTGTTGTTTGTTCAGAGTCCTTTTCCGAACAAGCTGATGGGAAATTTGTTGGATAAAAAAAGTATAATAGGAAACAGGAAATAAGCACCAGAAATCTCATCTAATCAAAAAATATATCCATGCAGTATCTGTATTTAGTACTTGGCTTGCATGAATGACTGAATCATCTGTGTGGAACAGAGCTTAGGAGCTGCTGAGGTTTGTGCAGGAAGCCCAGCTTGCAAGAATAGTCTCCTTATGCTAATCTGCTTAGTAAAGTTTAGTGTCTTATCTTTACCTTGATAAAATTAATAGAAAAACTATGGAGCTCAGATCTGGTCAAGCCCAGTTAGCATGTTCATTAAAGAAGGTAGTGGTACTTCCTGCATTGTTGGCCGGTGTCAAGAATATAAAACTATCATTCATAGGAAGCTTGTCAGTAAGGAGAAGTTATACTTTTTTCCCTCCACTAAACTTTCTCTTAATATACCTGGATACAGCCCTCTGTGATCCCTGCGTGGAGGATGCTAATCTATTTCTCCTGAACAGCTATGAAGTCAACTGCCTTCTCCATGATTGTGTTGTTTATCAAATTGTCCTTTGGGATTAATAAATCAATTAAATCATTACAATGAAACTCGGAGCTTGTCTGCCTGGCTGTGTGTTTCCTGGACTGGGCCGCCTGTGGAGCTGGTTGACAGTTGTGTTTGGTATCTCTGCTTCTTTCTGTCTTCTTCAGTCTCCTTGAACCCCAGTCGGTCTCGGCAGATGGCCGCTCACACCGAGTCTAGTTCTGCTGAAGGTTTCTTCCTGTTAAAAAGGGAGTTTTTCCTCTCCACTGTCGCTACAAGCATGCTTGGTGTGAGGGATTGTCTTTGTGTCAATGAGTCGATGCCATCAACTGGTTTTCCTTAGATAGCAAACTTTGCATTAATTTACTGTAAAGTGGCTTGAGATGACATGTGTTGTGAATTGGCGATATAAAAACGAACTGAATTGAATGAAACAACAAGGACTTTGTTAGAATATATATATATATATATATATATATATATATATATATATATATATATATATATATATATATATCACTGGTGTGTAATAAATTGGATGAATTATTGAAAAAAATTACTTCATTGGGATGCCATTACTTAAAAAAAGATGCCTTAAACAGGATAATGTTATTTTACACCTTTGCCTTTTGTTTCATTAAAGTCTTTCTAACCCAAAAGCTAACAAAGGACAAAAAGCAAAGTAAAGAAAAGAGGAGAAGGATTGGAGGAAAAGAGCAAATAAAAGACTGCAGAGGTCATAGGTTAAGATGACTGGGTTATTTACCAAGTATACCTGTCCCAGGGATAGAGTAGGATATTGTGCTTTGACTCATCTAATCCTCCTCTAATGAACAAAGCCATAAGGCGGATTTAGTCTGCAAAGCAAAAACCAAAAGTAAGAACCGACCCTCTGCTAGTTCTGCAGGCCTGAACATCATGCCTCTATATATCAACCAAAAAACAAAAGGATATTCCATCTCAGCACGGATGTCATCCAGGCGATGGGAGAGTTCAATAGCGTCTTCATCTTTGTTCTCATTGAACACCTTCAGCTGAATGTCCAGCTCTTCGGTCTTCTTTATCTCCTGGAAATCAGTCACAGTATCAAGAGTTAAAACTGTTTTTATACAGTCTATCTATGAAATGAAATCTATGAAATTAAATACAGAGTAAGAGAAGCATAATGCTTTTAAAGGTTTGCTCGATTATTATATTACTTTACATTGAAATCTCGCTAAAATATTTATGCCTCACTTAAGTTCTTTGACTTCTGTTTTAGTATAATACAAAAAAAATGGAAAGAAGCTTATTGAGATTTTGTTTTATGTATATCCTTACAATGTATTGGTGTCGGATGCATCATGCTGTGGGAATGCTTTTCTTAGCAGGGAATGGGAAGCTTGTCAGAGGTGATGGGGAAATGGGTGAAGCTATATACAGCTCCACCCATCTCCCATCCAGTAGAGAACTTTGACAGAATATTTTAGGTGGAATTATAATCATGTCTTTGATTTTGCACAGGTAAAGTCCACACAAAAATCATTCAGCGAAACCTGAAAACTGATGTTTAAAGATGTTTTCCATTCAACCGGGTCAAGCTTGAGCTATTTTCTTTTTAGTGGTTGCAGACATTACTGGTTCTAAGGCTTAAAAGATTGGCTGGATATAAATGCTTTCCACAATCCACAAATTTTTCTTTCTGTAATTTCATCCTAATTAACTGACAAGCTCAATAACTTGGAGTTTGTTGTTATAGTTTGACAATGAAATATAAAAAAAAACTTCTGCAAAGCTTAACAACTGTCCAGGAGAGAAAAGAAAACTATGACACACAACCCTCCCGCCGACAGTTTCACTTCCTGCACACCTGTACCAGCCACAAGGGGACACAGAGGTGCTCTTTACCACTTCCCTATGAATCACTAGCAGTGGGGTTTACACACAGAGACACAGCCAAATGTAACCCAGTTTCTGTAGGTATCAATCACTTTGCACCATTTTTGGGGTGCACCATCTGTCTTTGGCATCCAACATTAGTTCGCAGGTTGATGCGAGGTAGGAAGCCAAACACAGGCGGCCAAGGACTATCAGAACTAAACAAATTGTGCTTTCTTTTCCTGCGGGCTTCACTATTTCTTAGCCAACAGCTACACACACTCCAGAGCATAACTCATAATTAGATGAAGGAGTGTCACGCTGAATGTAGGCAATAAAAGTGGTAAATGTGGGATTCATAAACGACTGTACACACAGGCTCTTTCATATCAGGGGGCAGGAATGGAGATAATTAAAGTAATGACCGTAAAAATCAACAGGAGCAGCTGGGATGACTTATTAACAACTGGCTCTGTGACACGTTCACCCCACTTGCAACAAATGAGAGTTTGAGTGATGAGCTGGAGCTCGCTCGCCTTGGGCTCATGTGAAGGCGAGGACGGTGAGGTTGCTGATAATGACGCCTGTGTGCAAAGGTGTGAGCTCTGCACTGCACTCTCAACAAGCCCTTTTTACTAATCATTCCAATTGTTTAGAATCTTTTCTTTGAGATTATGCTTTGCAATCACTTCCATTTTCTAACTAATCAGTAAAGCAAAACAAATTCTGCGAATAGATATTTTGATCCGGAATTTCTGATTGCAACTAAAACAATTAGGACTTACATTTAAAATTCAAAATGCACGAGAATGAATATATTTTCTCTATAGAAATATGAAAGAGAAAGGGTTATTTTACTTGAATGAAGCAATAAAGGATTTAATGTGATAAGGTTTAACTGAACTGACTAGAACTTGCTTTATTCATTATTATATGTTGAAATTTTAGGCAACATCTTCACAGTCACAGGAGATTTAAGTTGCTTTCTCATAACTCACAGGAAGGATCTTCTTTAAGCCGCATCTGAGGAACTCGTTGCGTAGATGAATCCGGAAGTCTAGATCATCAGGTGATGTGACCAGGGCATTGATCAGCTGCATACAGGCAACCTGCAGAGCAGACAAATACAAAAAGAATAAACTTATGAGCAAAACAGAGGACGGTAATGGTAGGAATCAGAGCTCCAGCTATAATTACAGATGCACTGATTAGACCTTTCTAAGTCAATGTTCATTTTTGGCTTTCTGTGAGGCCTGGATTTCAGATTTAGATTTTCTTTTCTAGAACACATTTTTTTCTTGAAACACATACAAGGGAAAATACACAGAATTATATTTGAAGAGACACTGTACGGGTTTTGTTTATTAAAGTTTATATATATATTTATTTATTTTGGAAGGGTTAGGCATTAAAGAAAATGTGTATGAACTTGGTAATAGATCTTTTGAGTTGAAAGTTGAATGCTGTCGTTTGAAGTGTTTTTTTAACTCGAAACCGTGGCAGTACTTACTTGTGATGGATTCCAGAATTGGGAATGAAAGAATAATCTGAATATATATATATATATCATATATAAAAAAAAAATCCAACCTGTTTTCCCTCGAATATTGCTCAGTTGTTAGAAAAATGCACTGGTGGGCTGAACATCAGAGTTAAAGAAGGGACTTGCCAAATCCAATGCCAAAACCAAACAGTTTATTGACTCCAGTGTCATGTCATTTCTAAACTGATTACTGAAGTTTGAAGAAAAAAGGCATGTTTGGTTATATAGCAATTCCTTCATAAAAAAAAAGCAAAAAAAAAAAAGGGGGGGGCCTCCATAGTGTGAACTGTTCACAACAACAGGAGTCTGCCTAGCATGTCCTTCCTCAGGGTGAATTCAGACTGCCGGTCGGATCGAGGGATCAACTACAACTAGAGTTGCCATGATCAAGAAAAAATAATACAGAAAAAAGTAAATCTCAAGCAGGTTTCTGTTACCATTTCTATGTTTATATGTAGTGGCTAAAAAGTGACAGACCAAGGCTGTAATCAGCGCTATGCATCTGGCAATGTAGACTTACTTTGTCATCTTAGCTAGCATTAACAATGGTTCATGCCATTCAGACCCATTGAGAGAGAAATGTGAATCTAACGTTGCATTCAGGGCGGCAGAAACATTCGATTGATTCATTACATAAGAACGTATTAAAAATGTGTTTCCATCGTCTCTGCATCACTTTTATACTTTTTCAAAAAAGTAAAAAAAAAAAATTAAAAAACCCAAGTGAGCCTAAAAAAACATTTAGTGAAAATTTATTAAGCTGATTAAATTTTTGCTCTTCCAATGCAATGTTTCAAAATGCTAAAAAAATGGGAGATGGAAGCAGTTCTGAGCGGACAGGCTTCTTAGCACGGATTAAGCATACTAGGAACCAACACACAGCTTCAGGGTCCTTTCAAACCTGGGAAATCTCAAACTTTAGAGGAAATCTTTCATAAACACTGATGCTGCCATCCTATAGAATAGTTTGAATGGAGATATGAGATTAAAACTACTAGCAGAATCCCATCTCAAAATCTCTGCATTTAGATGGTTTCCAATCCTGACACATCTTGTCCTTTTTCGGGGAGAGAGAGAACGCCCCATACCATCACACTGCCTCCAGAAGAAAAATAAATAAATAAAACTGTTTGGCATTGATAGAGAGAATGAGGGAATATTTCCATAAGAGCAACCCCACCATATAAAGAAACATGAACAGCTGGTTCATCATTATAAGATATATTTTTATTAAACTTTTTATTAAACGTTCTTGTTAGAAAAATGAAGCTGTGGTTGAGTTTTTTATGCAAAATGTATTATATATGATTAATAGTGCATATGAATGTGTTTTGTTAGTTAGAGCTTGTTTCATTATGTTTCTCAGGGCCTAAGCTGCTGAGCTGAGGAGAAAAGAAAAAACTCAGGTGAAATGTGAAACAGTCCAGTTCTGTGATTCTATTGAACAGATGTGCATTATTAATGGATTTATTGGAAGAATAAAGAAAGAAAAAAAAAGATTTTGTGCTGGGTGGGTGAGTGGATGGATGAGTGGAGGTTAGGGAGAGGAAATAGCAGATGAATTCTAATGAGAAGTAGAGGGTTTCTAGGGAGCAAGCCATGGTTAAGGCACTTTTCCTTTGACAGACAATCGATAGAGCAGGCTGAAAGATTCCCATGAACAAAATCTAAAATACTGAATTCTTAACCTTGACCCTGCGCTCTATGCAGCATGTGTTATTAATAGCAATGACAGCTAAGCTGATTCTTTAGGGCTGTCATACAGCTTTTTTTTTTATTTAATTTAAAAACTTATTTTCTGTTACTGCCTTATTTCACTGTCAGTCTGAGAGGCTGGGCGGCAGAATTTGTTTTTGTTTATTGTTGTGTACCAGCGTGTATTATAAGTGTGCAAATGCTGGAAGAGGAAAAAAGGAAGTCATCTCAAAAAGATAAAGGCAGAGCAAAACTATAAATATTTTCCATTTTTTAAGAGAGGCTCACTGATTTTTTTTTAGAAATATTTTGAATGAAGGTTAAACATAATGGCTCTGACCAAAGTTAGAGTTTTTGATAACTTGATATTGAAGCAGTTAAAGCTTAGAGGACAAATTAGATTAATCTAAATTAGTCTTTAAAGTAAAAAAAAAATAGTTGAAATTGACTTAACAACTGTAAATATTACAAGGGATCATAATATATGTCATGTAATTTTTAAGACTTTTCTAAACTCGATAGTCTATAGTTCAGACTCATTTGCTTTAAACATACATTTCAAAACTTTTAGAAAACCAAAATTTGAAATGTAATAATAAAAACACAGCGACATCTAGATTTATCTTTAGAACCTGCATACAGTATAAAACTTGATGCAGCTCCTGAAAAATTGATGCTTTCTCTTTCTCACAAGGAAAGGTTCTGGGGGAAGGTTGAGGGTGAGTTCCAGAGGACTGCTACAACTGAGGTAAGGGTGTCCAGACATTGAAATTAAACTGCTAATATTTAGAAAGTGTAAGGCATTTAGACAGGGAGTTTTTCTGTTTTAAACCTGTTCACTTTTAGCTGAACTAAACTGAAGCACATTTCAATCACATTAGCAAAGTCTAGCTGTGCCGACGATCACCGGCTTTGGATTTAAAGTCTATTAATTTCCCCCAAAACCCCCTGCATCAGCAAGGCATTTTAATTTACTCCACAATTAGCAGAGCTTCATTTCATTAATGGCAAAATTTAAAGGAAAAAGGAAAAACAACGACCTTCTAATAAAAGAATATCTTGTTTCTCCTCCACTGCCCGGCTCATCTTCTCTTACTTTCATGACTTCTCAGGCCCTGCAGCTAAACCAATTCCTTAAGCAATTCCTTACTTTGGAGTCTTAAAAAAACATGCTTTGAGTGGTGTTGTTGCTGCTGTTAGATAGTTGTTTTCCTGTTCCTGAAGAACACTGGTGAAAATGAGGAGAGATACGCTGCTTTGTTGCCCTCCTCTGAGATTTAACTTGAGATTTGACAGCATTGTAGAAAAAAAAAGCAATAGGAAGTATTTGTGGGATGTAAGGAAAAAAAAGGTGAGTAAAAGCGGTGAGAGGTAGAGGAAATGTGAAAAAGAAAAGAAGCAAAGAACAAAGAGAAAATCAGTATCTTTCTTTGACTGCATCTTTTGTATCCCTTTGCAAAAACGGAAAGAGCCATTCAGTGAAGCTGCTCAATGAGGCAGGTGTTTTCTTTTAATAAAGAAGTGGCAATGGAGCATTGAGTGAATTATAATGGGTCCCTGATCACATCTTGTCATGTCCTAGGGGGGATATGATGAGGACAAGTCGACGTGGAGACAGGGGTAATGTTAGTTGTGGTTATAAAGCTCAGATTGAGGTATTAATGGACCAAACACAACATAAATTGGCATAACTGTCTATTTGAGTTGTTTCTGTCGCCATTAGGATCCTACAGAAAAACAACACGGTCTGTGAACGACACGCTGTCTGCTTCTGCTTTGTATCCACAGTGTATGTATTAAACAGGAGTTTTCTAACAGGATTTCTTTAAACCTCAGTTTTAGGTTTGCAGGCAATTATATTTTCACTGTACCACTTTATGGCAGAGCAGTGCTAAGGTATTTGGATCATCGTGCTGTTGGTTGTCTGCTCGTGCTGAGTGCATGCCTAATCACTCACCTGAAGCTGCTGGGCCTCATGGTTCTCCAATCCCTCCACAATTGGAGCAAACCTCTCTTTATTGTTCCTCTCTGCTGCAATCGTCATGGCAGCCAGAATCTTATCCAGGCTGGGGAAAAAGACAAGCAAATACTTTCATTACCTCACAGTGACAGGACAACTTTTTTTTTTGTTATTTAGGCCTTCAAACGCTTCTCATTGTATCTCTTCTCATGTGCTGGTGTGAAGATTTACACAGCCGCTTCAGTAAACCAAGCTTAAACAAAAAATGTGAGTTTTGCTACAAATGTTGAGGACAAAGTTGTAAAAACTTTCTAAAACTTTTAATTTTATATAAGTTTTTTAATCTCTTTATGTTTTTGGTGTCTTTCAGCTGCATGATGGCTGCAACTTGTTCTAAAAGTAAGATGTTGGTTAACATGTTAAATTCAACTTTTTTGAGGGCTTTATTCTAATAATACTGGGTTTCTTTTGATAGAATTTATTGTATCTACAATTAGCCTAAAAGCTGTAAACTTTTTGAGAGATAAGTCAGGTGGTGTGCAGCCAGAAAATCCCAGTATGCACCTGATGCTTGAAAACAGTCTCAGTAAAGTGAAGGGTATAGGATATGGTGCTGCCTTTTATCTGATCCTATCTGCATAAGTAAGTAGCCATGTGCTTTTTTCAGGCCGACACACATCATAAAAGACTGCTGAGCTGAACAAAGCAATTGTTTAAATAAGGAGTGGGTGTGTCCCCTCCATATATGCAGAGGTGCAACAGTTTTACACAAACAATTTGGTCTTTTAAAACTTCGGAATCTGTCATTTAGAGCACTAAGGGGTTAGTTTATATCTTCAACTTGCACGTTTTGTCATAACAGGAAAATTGCTATATTTTTTCCCCTGAATCGAAAAAAAAGTCATAGGAAACTTTCTTAGTTCTGCGAATTTGTTCCTGTGTTTCTCATGGCACATCATAATTATGAACTAAGAGACATTTTGAAAAGTGTGTATTTAACTTAAATTCATTCTCATTCCCTCTCATACCCTGAATAAAATCATATGCAATTAAATGTCACCTCCTAAGTACATGTTTGCATCATTTTTACTCAGTATTACAGAAGCTGCACTGGGAAGACCTCAGAGGATCACCAAGACCAGGTTGCACATTCTGCAGGTCAGGGGTGAAATTGTAAAAAAAAAAAAAAAAAAAAAAAAAAAAATGTGTCCTTTGACTTTTATATGAACTGCAGATTTTTGACAACCGTATTTTATGGATTATAAATGACTCTCGAGTACAAGTTCCACCAGCCACAATATGCATAATAAAAAAGCATAACCAAGAATATCCTGAAGGAAAATTTAAAATGAAAATAGAATAGAGGCAACAACAGGCTAAATAATTGTACGGTACGCTAACATTACACGACACACGAAAAACAATCTGAGAACATGCCTGGTATGTTAACATAACACATTAAAAGTTATTCAGATAACTATAGTATAAATAACATGCCAACAAGTTTATCAAACCATCTGTGTGAATCCCCAAATGACTAAATCCAATGAAATCTTCATCCATTGTGTCACTTTTAAAAGACTCTGCTAACTCCAAACTTTCTTTCTGCTGCTCGATTAACGTTTTTGGCAGCATATATTTATACTTGCAGCTTGTAATCTGCAGAATATAATTTACTTTTCGGTGCCTTTTTGTAAAGCCCTTCTCAGTTGTGTTTTTTTAATTTATTTTTTTATTTTTTTTACTTAAACCCAATGCGTCTTCTTGGGGTTAAGTGTGAAAATAACATGTGAAATTGTATAATTTGTTAATAATTTCACACATAAGTCGCTCAACAGAATAAGTCGCACAGGTGGCCAATAAATGAGGTAAATACTAACCTAAAACAGATGAAACCAATTAAGTATCCCAATTAAGATTTTCTTTGTGTTTTCATTTCATCCAAAAAATAGAATGTTAGGTTTGTGGTCGCGAGGAGCTGATATTTGAAAGATTTTAAGGGATATGAAGACCTTTTCAAGGCTCAGCATGTATGAAAAAACATCCCTAATCAAACACAGCAGACATACTTGTGGTTGCATCCTCTACAGCTTTTGTGATTAGCAGCTGATCAGTGAGCAGAGAGATCATGTGTCTGACAATAGAACCGTACAGAGTAAAGCTTACACTGAGATAAATGGAAGACGCCGCATGATAGACATTACAAAGTTACTGGAAAACATGATGAGCGGCATACTGAGCAGCTTTAAAGCCAGTTCAGACGTTGCTACAAAACAGGCAAGATAGATCTGCTTAACTTGTCGTGTTCTCTTTTGATGTTGTCAGCCGAGGATGGTGCCGAACATGAGTCAGATTCACTGCACTGGCTGGCAGAGAAGTTTCAGAACAGAAGGGTGAAAAGCTACACCTCAATTCCTTTGACTGTCATTTCCACAGCATTCTGACATTTTTAAAGCATGGCTATGATTGTGACAAAGATCTTGTTGCTTAACCTATTTTTAATTATCTGAGTGACTGGAGTGAGCGAATAAAATAATGTGAGGAATCCAGGTCTGCTATATATACATATATAGTGCCACTAAGTTGCTATATTAGCAGTGATGTGTTTATATCAACCTATGTAGCGACAGAACCAAACATGAATCTAATTTGCTTATCAACTGCATCAGTGCACTGATTAATGACTCAAGTGCATCTACCTGTAAATGTGGTTGTAAATTAAATAAAAGTTTGCTTGAGTTGTCACAACATTTTTCTCACTTTGGGAGATAATTTCTTTATCTTTTATGGGGCAATCAACCGACTCCTGTATGTTTTGTTGAAATGCAACAGACAGATGTCAAGAGAATCTTCGCTACCCAGCAATCTAGATTAGGTGGTCTTTAAATTGTGAAAATACAATTCCAACATGACCATTGACATAAATTCATGACTTTATGACTTTGTATCTTATAATTATGATTTTGGAATTTGAAATGATGACTTATAATCTCATGATTATGACTTTTTAATTTCATAATTATGGCTTTGAAAGTCAAAATTATTACTTTAAATCTCCTAATTATGACTTTCTATTTGCCATTTTTTATTTTCATGTGGTGGAAACGGGCTTCCATAAATACGCAACATAAAACAATAAAAAATAAATAAAAAAGAATCTGTTAAACAGTTAAACTGGCTTTGATTATAATCAGAATTCATTTTTGCAAGCAAAACTAAGCAACCCTTTACAGTCACAATCATATTCCTAAAACGTTTACTAATTCTGTCAGTAGTAAATTCTATTCACTTTCCAATCATAAGCTCAGAAGCAAAAGATATCCAAGAATAAAACTAATCAATTTATATTCCACAACATGAAACCAGTTTTGGAAAATGTATAGTCAGCATCAGAATTAAAAGCCCACAGCCCCGATTTAGATGGTGAAAAATTTTAGACACATTTGCTAAACTCAGCTTTTTCCTAACAGAAAAAAGAGGGTTTGTTTATTTCCTTGACTGCATAAAGACTTGACTCTGAGCTGTTATTGTTATTCCAGTCTGGCCCAGTGGGAAACAACAGAAACACTCACATAACTCCAATTTAAAGGCTGTCAAGCAAGTTGTGTCCAAAGTAAAATAAAGAGACAATGCTGCACCGAAAAGTGTGATTTTTGTACTGAGTTGTTTCTGTAGATACAGCTTATGAGTTCCCACCGTGAATAAACTCAGCATGGATATTAATGGTGGGATGGAATCTCTGTAAAACATAAAAATAGACTTGGAGGATGAGAACCGCAAAGGCAGTATTTCCTATATTCTCTGTTCAACATTAGAGGTGTAAGCTCAGTAAAGACGAACGAGGCTTCCTATTTTTGTCTTCGGTAAGGATTTTAAATGATGTAGCTCAGTTTACACACCGGCATAGATTTACTGAAAAAAGATATGGCAACACAAGCAATTAAAAGGCTATAAAACTAAAATATATGCTGCCTTTTAAAGAAAATGTTTTCCTTCCTGTCAGATACCAATAAATAACACTAAAACCAATTCGGAATCAGTCCTTTAATTGTGAGATATACTTTCCTAGTACAAACACATGGTTTTTGATGGCATATCAGAAAATAAAAAAGCTGGCTTTCCCAATAATTGCAACACTAAAAATAGTGTAAAGTTGTTGTTTCTTCTTTTTTTAAGAAAGCCAGCCATTACTTATATAGCTTTTCCTCCAGATGTCACATACATTTACAAATGGGGGTTTCTGCAGATCAGATGAGAAAAACCTCAAAGCTTTTTATTTTCATATTAATTAAATCTAAAAATACTTTATTGATCCCTAAGGGAAATTAAATGCTGTAACCAACATTCTAGGTGTTTCTTCAGTGAGTTGTTATAGATGCTGATGGCTGCAGACAGGACGTCTCTGCTGCAGAAGCCCCTGACTGAAGACAGTACTTCTGCTTTACTTGTCAGAACTCCTGTGAGATGTTTCTACTTTATTTGTGCATTTATTTCAACCCCCCCCACCTCAATTAAAATAAAAGATAAAACAATAAAAAATGTACTTTTAGAAACTGTAAAGGTATGTGAATACATGACTAAGAAAAAATAAATAAAAGCAAAAAAATAAAAAACAGTTCTGAGAGCAACTATAAAAATGTAAAAATTATATACTCATATTTGACGGAAACATAAAGTATATACTTTTTATTACATTGTTGTTTTTTGTTTTCAAAATCTAAATCATAGAGATGACAAAAGAGAATGAAATCTCTCATAAAACTAACAATTTTATACAGTAGGTACTAATCAGCTTCATTAAAAAGGTTTTTATCAGGGGTCATATAGGTTTTGCTGCTAAAGGTTCAATTTGTATAATGAGTTTTGGATCATAAATATTGTTAATTTTCGTAGACAGAAAAGTAAAGCTGGAAGATATCCTAAATCCAATCAACTTCAAAAAGTACTGTGCCCAACATGCTCTCTATTTGCTTCAATATTAGAACCTATAAAATGTGCTTTTAATGCATTTTTTCTTTGAAAGTTTAGAGTTATATTTCATTAACATTCCTTTATCAATAGAGCTCTGCAGACCTGCAGATAAAACCAATGCCTCTGACCTTTATACTGTGACAATCTCATTATCTGACATTACTCTGAGGAGAAAAGAGGCTGATGTGTTAGGTGGCTGTGAGAAACGCTCAGATATGATCCATTCAACTCACATGTTTTCTTCTCCGATGATACAAATAGCTGAGAGAATTTTGACAATCTCCGTCATCATGTTGGTCTGTTTGGGGTCGATGGCTCGTGCCAACAGCAACAAGCTGCGCTCATCGCCCAGGATCCTTTGCAGTCCATACTGTAAAAGAGAGAGCAGATAAGGCAAGGTAGAGAAGAGGTCCATCGGGGAAGAAGATAATGAGAGCTTTTATATTCATAGGGAACTTCCACTTCTAGTAAAATATAAATTACATAAAAAAGCTGTAGTGTATGAAGTTACAGTTAGCCTTAATCCTCTTTTAAAGAGATACAACGAAGCTGTGCAAGGAAATGGCAACGATGATAAATTGATTTAATTCAGGACAGGACTGCAGGGAGAAATTCTTAGTCTTCTGCAGCTTTTAGTCTAAGTACAAATGGAGGACTGGATTGAAATAATCATGTGCGTGTGTGTGGATGGGATTAACTTCACTAGAAGCAATATCAATAGTGCACCTAACCCTAAAATCTGGGCCACTTTAGAGAAATGAGCAACACTTTCCTATAAAAGGGATAATTGAAAGTTCAGAAACTTTTTAAGGTGAAATTAGCATCGCTTTACTGCTTCATTATCCTCAGCCAGTCAACAACAAAATGCAAATAAGGTCAGAGCTCTTACCACCTGTGCATGTTTTACACTTTAAAACAGGTTGCATAAACATTGTTTATGTAGTAATTCCAGATTTAACAGATTCGGCTTTCAAGGGCTTTAAGTCATTTGCATTCTCCTCAAAATATAGCAAACTAAAGTTTATTACACAGTAATTTGTATTGGGCTTCTGGTATTTTATGCAAAAACAACCAACTGGAAAGAATTAAAGGAGGAAGGAATGAAGGACTTTGAGGAAAAAGAAGTTTAAAGAACGTTTAAGACCTGGATAACATTGAATTTTATTTTATTCTTTTTTTTTCTGCAGACTGAGGGGGAACCTGATTTGTAACTCAACGTTTTAGATATCTGCTCAGTTATCATTTTTTGTGATGGTCCATTCAAAATACAAAATTAAAGAAAGATCTAATGAATCAGTATAAAAAATGTATCTCCAATATAAAGTTATACAAACCTTATTGTTCATGAAGGCCTTTAAACACTGGATAAGTTTGTACTGGTTGCGTTTGTCAATGCTCTCTTGCCTGCAGAATAAAAACATTTCATATTCAAGCATGTTTAAAAATGATATCCTCCTTAATGCACAGGTGTAGATACAGTATTGAGAAGTGGGAAGCTGGGCTTGTTAACTTACTGTTTTTTGTCCAAAAGCTTATCCAGATTATCCAGAAGAAGGCCAAGCCCCTCATGTCCGAAGTTGTTGACCCAACTGGAATAAAGAGACAAAAGAGAGAGAAAAATGTTAGACAAAACAAATATTCAATATTAATAGCTTCACTGTTGATGCCCTGGATGGTTGATTTAAACCAGGACCCCCTTGAAAACAGAAGCAGACACATTCAACTGAATTCAGCAGGTCCAGAGAGGACATCTTCAAAATGACCGCTAATGTCAGCACTTTACCTGATGAGCTCAAACAAAAGAAGATCACTGGATGCTAAGATCAGAAAGTCTGCTGCTGTTTACATTTTACTTAACGCTTTAAGCAAGGTTAAAGAGCTGGTTTACTTTGTAAAAGTTGTAAAAAAAAAAAAAAGACGGAATAGGAAAAAAAAAAGAATATCTGACAGCAATCAGCTCACTGAAAGCAGACCTACTGTTTTTTAACACTTGGTCACCACCTATTTTGTATTTTAACTTTCTCTGAGTCGATCTTTGTTCAACATCAGTAACAGTGTGTTACAGCGTTTTCTTGCAATTTAAGTTGCATGATTGTTTCTTTATCATTTTATGTCTGTAACTAAAGACTACTTTCTGAGAAATGGCAGGTAAAGTTTAAGTTATTTTTATTTTAAATCGAGGAGCTTTTCATCTTACTATCAAGTATAAGGTTGAGAGTTGTACAGTAGGTGCAAAGTGTGTCGTTTCCTTGGAGGTTGGAAGCAAATTTCATAAAAAGGATTTGCTCAATAGACCTTGTATCTTATCTAAAATTCAGCTTTAGACTTTTACACATGTAGTTTAAGAACATATGCACAGTACTTTGCATTCTTTCCACAACCTTAACCTTAAACAATAATATTTAAAGTCAACCATGCCCTCTCTTTGACACTGAATATATTCTCCATCAGTCAGACTTTAAACTGCAACCATTTACACACAAATGAGCATCCATCCATCTTAACCAATGTTTTCAGCGCAAAACAGTTTGCATCCAGGCCCGATGCGAGCAACTATTATACTGTGCCAAAAGATTAAGCAATGCAACTTAGATAACACTGTAATCGATAATGGATCGAGAGAGATAATTGCCTATAAACCGCAGCGTATCTGGAAACGGCAAATGATCCAGTGCAGATGAGCCTGTTTGTTTAAGCCCGGAGCAGAATCAAGAGGCGGCTGCAGAGAACTTAGTGGCTGCAGCCAGATTATGCCATTAGCTTTACTTGTTTTCGAGCCCTTAACTGTCAGTGACGCAAAATGCATGAAGCAATTTTCCAGCATTAACGGGGCACAAGTCAATGATTTATCCTTCCTTTTTGACAATGATTTGAAATAATAATGGTTTTAGTATTAAAGCCGTTTGTATAGACTCAGTGAGTTGTAAGAGACCCTCAATTAGAGATGGAATGCATTTGCCTCAGGAAGCAAACAAATTCGAGGTGAGGTATTTCTTTAATCTGTGGCTAAATAAGAGCTAAACAATGACTTCCTGTCCTACATTTTACCAAATGTTCTCATAAACAGACAAGCCGAGGCTATTTATAAGCTGTTAAACTTGCAATGTACTGAGTTATGACGTGAATCCCTAATAGACCCCAAACAATACACTTTTCAGAAATGTTTCTGTAAAATGAATTTCACCAAAGGGTGTAGGATCTTATTGTTTCATTCAAGCATGTGCTCTAATAAATCTAAAGGCTGCAAAAGATTGCATAAACATTTTCTCTGTTTACAGAATAATGGAAAATACATCTGGATGTTTGGAATACAGAAGTACAATCATATACAGATAATTTTAGATTTTATGACAAAATTTGTGGAATTAAGCAACATGTGCAGAAAAAAAAAACATGGCTTAATTCTCTTTTAGGCGAAATAAATAAATAGGTACAGTGAGTGTCCATTTATTTTTCTCCTCACCAAGAAAAGAAGTCTTGCTGCAGGTTGCAACATAATACAGTTCCCCTCAGGGTTCTTGATGCACTAACTGTTTTGGGTTCTCTGTACATCCCAGACAGTCCATCATTCTCTGTCCCCTTCTGCATGACTTTAGGTCATTTGCAGCTTGCCTTCTTCATGCCCCAAAAGTTTACTTAGAAAAGGCTATTAAAAATACTATATGGTGCATGCAGGGTGCTTGTCCTCTAGCTATAAAAACACAAAGAAACACCTTAGGAAATTGGCAGCATAAAATAATAATCTCTACAAATTAGAATCTGTATTACAAAAACAGCATCTCTTAATTGTGCAGATTTCTGCCTCAATTAAGAAGTTTGTACTTAGAAGGAACTTAACTTGGTGTTGATAGTGCAGACAAGTTCAGTGTATATACAGAATACAGAATCTATAGCTATATACAATATATAGTCTATAGTTATGTACTATATACCCAGTAGACTGTGGGTTAATGTAACGTAGGAGGTCTGGAGATGCTGATGATGGTGTAACTTCTAGGTCCTGAACACGGGAGGGAGAGAGGCAGTGTCAGTGTCACGGGGGTCTCTGGACGTTGTTAATAAGGCTGGTAGCGGATGGGAAAAACTTTTCTTGTGGCGTGAGGTCTTGGTACTGGGGGATCGCAGCCTCCTGCCAGAGGGAAGGTGACTGAATCAGGGAGATAATACTGCCATTCCTGGTGTGATAAAAGCAATTGAGTCAGCTCCGAAGAACGTCAGGAATGCTTTGACTGTTAATCCAGAAAATCCATCATTTTGGATTGGGCCAATATCCTGCCATTTGTTGCGTCTCCCTGAGGAGTATGATCTCTCTTTATTATGATCCCCCGACAATTCACAAATGTTATCGTTTGAAGCAGGCAGAGCACTAAAATGTATCTCTTCCTGAAATCATTCCTGAAATCATTTTTTAACAGAAAAGTTCTTTCCATATTATGTTTGGTTCTCTGCTGCTGACTAATCATAATCACATCATGTTGTCAACTAGGATATAAATAGACCAGACCGGACAAAACATTTCAGCTTTAATCATATGTGTACATGTATCACATATTTTCTTAAGATTTCTGATTATTAAAAATTGTAGGGGAAAGATGAGAAGCTATTCTTTTTTTTAACTTGAACACTTTGAGTGCTATTCATTATACATCCTGAATATTTTACAGTTCCTCATCAATATAACTTTGTTAAAATTAAACAAACTGACAACAGGTCAAAAATGTGTGAGGATAATGTCAGCACAAGAATCCACAGCCACAGAATCACATGCTGTCCCACCTCATGTTTGACTGATAACTTCTGTTGTTTTGAGGGCTTTTCTGTGGATTGATTCCGTATATAAACCACTTTTACCATTTTATGAGGGCTCAGTGAGTAGCTCTGTTTCTGAAAGCCTCTGAACACAAACTATATGTTTCATATTGCATTACAGACCAGGCTATACAACTGTCCCTCTGTGGGTTTAAGGACATGTTTGCTTCTGCAAAATTCCTGTTGTACTCTATTGTGCCTTGTAACCAATGGATCTCAACTATATAGCTAGAAACAAAGCAGCACCGCTGTTAGCTTAGTGATTCTGTTAAAGCTCGGTATGGAGGTATGGAGGATGACCCAAGTCTGGACTTTCTGACATAAGGCAAACAGAAGAAGAATGAAACTATACTTTTTTTATTAAGAAAAAAATATATTGCTTCTGGGCAGGACAATAAAATATTCAGTCCATACTGCAAATCCAAATGAAGGGGTGAGCAGCGCAGTGCAAGATACCACTGACAAGATAACACTGCAAAGCACAATAAGGGGAGATAATGAATACAGGGGATCAGATGAGTAGAAAAAGCAAAGTCCAGGTGTGTGACAAGAGCAAGACTACAACAAAACAGGCTTTCAAAATAAAAAACAGTATTACAATAGGTTCACAATTTTACACAATAATAAAGAGTCTGGCTTTAGATTATAATGGTTAAACCACTTGAGGGAGTGAGGGAGGGATAATCGCAACATCATTAAAACCTCTGGCATTCAGAACCTGAACTTCTAGGATTTAGGAGGAGCTTTTTAAGTCCTTAAAAAATGTCTTAAGGATGAAGGCAATGACTTAAGCTGGAAGTTTTAATATCTAAATCCATTCCGCTTATGAAAAAAAAAACATTAAATGCTACTGATTTATATAGAACAGTGAATTTGCCCAAGACAGGCTTCCATGGGAATTTCAGCAATGCTTAAATGCTGAGCCCCACCAACGTTTTAATGCTCTAAAAGACAAGATATTACAGAAATATATATAAATATATTTCTTTTATTATAGTTGATTACCTACAGGTATCGTTTTTTTTATGCAACACCAATCAACACTAATAGAACTGCAAGAAATAACAAAATGCAAATAAATTCTCCTTATTCATTTAATTATGCATTTATAAAATAAAAATAACATATCGCTAATAATGTATGGTTCTATTTTACAATTTAACAGCCCTCAAGCCAAGTTGGCTCCAGTCTTTGGACAACTCAGTCTGCGCTACTCTTCTATTACCAGCATGAAACAAAGATGGACAGTTGGTTGAGATCAGTCAATAACTTTGCAGCTGTCCTACAAAATATGGGGGCGATTACAATGCAAATAGAAACTTCAGAGACCAGCAGAACCTGGCATAATGAGAGTGTTTGTTTGCCATTTCAGAAGACAGAGCAAACATTCAGTGAAGCAGTCCATCAGATCTTTATATGATAAAGAAAGTTAAAGGCAGAACCTACAATAAGGGGTTACAACTAGGAGAATAAAATGAATAAATAAAAGCAAAAAAAAATATCTAGGGTATAAATGGTCAAAAGTTAGTCACTTCAATAGCAATTCTTCTACATTGGCAGCTGAAGTTCAGCCAATGGAAGAGTAGCAGGAGAAAGTCACAGTAAGAGGGAAATGGTCAGTATGTCATCCAGCACCCTATACAACAGCTACAGAAGAAGTTTACTTTTTTAAACAATGTTATTTAAATTTCACTGTATAGTAAATGTAAAGAAAAAATCAACTTTTACACAATAATTTTTTTTTATGAAAGCTAGGAATTAAGATGCACTGAACATATTA